CACAACTCTTGATAATCTCCTACCTCTTTTGTCTTTAACTCACTATTATTTGTCTATTTGTTTTCCTGAGAAACTATTTTGTAGATAATAATATGTAAAACAATAACCATTGATAATTTCCTACCATTTTGTCTGTAATTTGCTAAGTCCCCCTATTATTATGTTATCCTTCTTTTATTCTTTAAAATAAAAAATAAAAAAATAAAAAAACAAAGTGAAGTCACTTACTATCCAGGAGGCTCTGAAGAAATGTCCGGAGTGGGGCTGACTGCTGAGCTCTGTAAATCAAAAAAAGAAAAAAAAAATGCAGATAATTTATTTTTACTAAGAGGTTTCAAACCAAGAGAAAAAGCAATAACCCACTTTCCAGTCCTTGTCTGGGTAAGGACCTCTGTCTGACAAGAGGCCTGGATGGAAGGATCCTGGCTTCCGGGCAATGGGCTTTCTCACGCTCCAGTCTTCCGCTTCCAGTACATGCAGCCATGTTTCCGAGGGGCTCCGGCCACGGCCTCTGGATTCACACTGATCTTCGGTGGCAGGCTCCCTGGGCCACAGCCCCCAGTGGGCCCGCATGCAGCAGTCACACAGGTAGCACCCTCTTCACCAGCGTCCCCCACTCTCAGAACCCCATGCTGGGCCCACTGAAGAACCTTTCATGCACATCAACTGCCACATCCAGAGAGGGTCAGACAACGATTTAGATAAAGGATGCACAAAAGTGGATTTTAAAAGACAACACTGTATTTAGAGAATTTGTTTATGCCTGCAGTTTAAGAAATGTGGAAATCAGGACAGAAGCAATTTCATAAACTTTACTACTGACATTTCAACACGAATGGGGAAATGCTTTATAAAACTATAGGCCATGACACAAAAGGAAAAAAATAAACACCAAGAGCTACATGCAGGGGAAAAGCAACATAATTATGGCTTATGGCTTCTTTTGTCGTATTGGAGAGAAAATGTAAAGGGTTCGATATATTTGTGATGAATAAATCAGTGTAAAAATTAACTTTTAAATATATGCCTAATAACGACCCTATCTCTAAAAATGACTGTTTAGAGGAAAACAAGCTATTGCGAAAAGAAACATTTAGGGAAAGCAGGGAAAAGAAAAGAGATTATGAAAGAGGGAGGAGATGGCAAGAAGGCAGCCTGGCCCTCTGCCTGCTGAAATGCCCACCTTTAACTTGCAGGTTTGGGTCTTGTCACTTCTGAGAACACCGCTGTCCCCAGACGGTGACCCTGCCTCGCCCAGCCCCCTTACTTCTCAGGCAGGCACATGCGCGCACCTCCAAACTCACTCTCCGCCTGCTGGCCGCACTGGTCTGGTCTTGTCGACCCTTCCTCTCTCCTTCTCCAGCCTCTGGCCTCTTACCACTTGTTCCATCCTGGTCTTCCACCTTTGAAGACCTTGCCTTGGTCTCCACCACGGCAAAATTTTTGCATGATCCCGTGCAGTTCTCTAGGAATGTCTTCTCCCTCCTTCCCCTTGCCCTGCCCTCCCTTCTTCCCCTGCACAACTGTATCTCTTCCATCAACGCTGTATTTCTGCAGGATTCCCTGCACTCTAATTTTCATCGACTGCTCACCCTGCAACCTCCAAAGTTTTTTGAAACTTCTTAGTTATTAAACCTATAAACTCTTTTTGGGAGCTGTTCTTTGGATCTCTCTAGAGCACTGGGGTAGTTCTCATACCTTCTCCTGATCTATTACTTATCTCCTGCCACTCCTCCAAACTGTCCTTTGTGTGACTCTGCCCCTTGCCCGTCCTATATCACCCAGCATCCCAGCAGGTAACTCATGAGCTCCCCTCCTTTTTCTTAATACGGTTTCCTCTCTTATTCAGTCTTTCAACTGCTCCAGGGTTAAGTGGCTTCACCTATTCCTACAGCATCAATAATTACCTCTTTCAGCTGACTCTAACTGACTTGTTAAGTCCTTGCCTCTTCCATGAGCCCTGGTCCGAGTTCCAAATATCTTCTGGATATTCCCTACATAATGCCCAGGCAACACTTCAGAAGTCAGATACCTCAAATCAACTCTCTCATCTTAATACTGGATTGATTTTTCTCTTGGCTTTGTGTACCATACTGATATCCTCACTAGTGCAGCTGTCTGGACTAAATTCTAAAGTTCTCTCAATTCTTTGTTCTTCACACCAATTAGTGAAAATGTCTTATTGCAATTTTCTTGGTGATCTCTCTTACATCTGCATTTCCTAGGGCCAGGGGGATAGCTCAGTGGCACAGCGTCTGCCTGGCAAGCGCAAGGTCCTAAGTTCAATTCCCAGTACCAAAAAAAAAAAAAAAAAGTACATTACATTTTACTTCCAGCACATTGGTGCTACCGCAATAGGGCTTCATCATGACATCTGGACAAATGGACTACTGGCCTCCTTGCTCTCTGAGACTCAAGTTTTCTTCTCCCTTCATTTTAACTTCTCTACAGCAATGACACTATTCTTCCTATAACATTTCCTGAATTACATCACTGGTCTGAAGGCAAAACCCATCATCTCCTTAGCCAGATGATCTAAGCCTCTACAATCCAGTGTCAACTATCTTTCCCAAACCTACCTCCCACTAATTCCCACTTAAAATTTCTTATCCCAGCAGAATTTATCTTATTCCTTAAACATGTCTTCTTCCATGTCCCTTCTAATGCTTTCCCCGTGCCTCAAATGAATACTTCACACTCTGGCCATGTACCTAAGTTCTGCCCACCTTTTACAATCTGGGCTAACTCCTTGATTTCTCCTAAGATTTACCTCCCTTCTGGCTCTTAGCATACATTGCTGCATCCACTGTTGGAGAGCTTTGACTTTCTGTGCTGCCTGGAGTAAGGAGCCTGCTAGCCCCTCTCACACACATTCAGGAATAACGAGCACCACTCAAGTAATGTGCCCACTATGCCCCGGGCAGCGCTCTGGGTCCCTGAAGCAGGCTCTGCCCACAGAGGGCAGCAGCTAATTCAGTAGCTCTCTAGCTGCCTCCCATCTCTGTGTGGGTTACAAACACTCTCTTATATTGGGCTACTTTGAAAAGTACCACTGATTCATTCTGCCAACCTAGCACATACCTCTCATCCACAGCTCAGATCACTTTAGGACTTACCCGAACCCACAGTTCTCACCTGGGACCTTGAATCTGACCATGGTTACACCACGTTCGAGTCTCCACTCTGGCTGGAAATTTAGCTCCCCCTTATCCATCCTCCCCTAACGCCCGCCACCTATCTGCCTCAATCGCATACACGCTGACTCACCTCTTGTGCCTCCTTCAGGTTCTGAGGAGGAGCCCAGAGTCTGCCCACTGCCCCTTCTGGCTCTCTCGTCCTCTGGTGACTCTGGATCCCTGACTCCTAAGTGCCCTGACGGACCTGCAGCTTTCTTATCAGAGCTCTATTTGGCTAATACCACTAATAGCCATAATAAAGGATGGTTTTTCCATCCTTTCTGTTTAAGTCTCTGGCACTCACATGACTCTTTGTATCCCAGTTACTCATGCTAGTGGCCTAACCCTGTTAGTCTTAGTTCTGCTTATGTATAACACAGATTCATTAACAATTTCCACTTTGTCTGCTCTAGTTTGTGGATCTTCTTGGCTTCTTGAGCATCTACATTCTTTCTTCACTTTCTCTAAAGATATCCTTCCCTTATGAGAATCTCTTAATTGTGTCAGAAGCCCTGGGAACAGTTCTGCAAATATTTGCTCTCCCCTTGGAAACCCATTTACCTTGGACTCACTTTTAAACTGTATTTTATCAATAACATCCCTTAACAATATCAATGCAAGTTCAACCCCAAACATTTGCTTGTGTCCAGTTGACCTCTGAGGTACATTTTTTTAAATAACTTTCTGACCTTTAAAACTAATAAGTACAGTGGTACCTCGGTTCATGAACTTAATTATTTCCATAATTCTGGTTGCAGAATTCATTCCATGGTTTTTTTGCAGTACGGTTGCAACTAGAATTGTGGAATGAATTCTGCCACCAGAGGTGCTGAAAGAATTAAGCTTGTGAAACAAAGTGCCACTATGCTATCGCGCTGACAGTGCCTTGCACAGAAAGGGCACCCAAATCACTAGTACTGTGCTTTGGGTTTTGCTTTTTGCTTTGTTCTTAGGTCAGTAGTGAGAATTCAGTGTAGGGCCTCACACATGCTGGGCAAGCACTCTACCACTGAAGTATAGCACCGGCCCTTTTGACATTTTGAGATAGAGTCTCACTAAGTTGCCCCCGCTGTTCTGAAACTCGTGATCCTTTCTTCAGCATCCCAAGTCAGTGAGGTTACAGATGTGCACCTCTGTTCCTGGCTTACTGCTGTGTTTCTGAAAACAACTCTTAAGGTAGGTATCTCCCAAGGATAACAAAAAAGACAAGGAAATTGCCAAAAAAAAAAAAAAAGCTGCTTCAAAATTCAGAAAAGGTACACAGTGGTAAAGAAAAGGAATTTAAAAGGGTCACTCACTGAAAGCAAAGAAGCAGAGAAAAAGGCCATGGTATGGGGCAGCGGGTAGTTTAAATGACCAGCCACGCTGTGTGTATTTGGAAAAATCCCCTATAAGGAAGATGTAGAGTTCAAAAAGAATCCAAACAAAAATTAACTCGGGGTGGAGATGAGGATGGGTAGGAAGTGGGTGGGTGCTAAAACGTACGTCGGAAACACCATGCAGTTGAAAACAGCCAGCATTACTGGCGGTCACCTCAGTTCTACCAGAAACCACAGAACAGAGAAGGCAGAAAAAGGCAGAGCATGAAAAGAAAGTAATGGTGTGAGAAAAACTGGGAAATACCTGTGGCGAGTTTGAACTGCTTGCTTTATTAATCGTCTCCATTTTTTCTAAATCTGCCTCTGACTCTGTTTGGCAGAGGTTGAGATCTTTCTCTAGATTAGTCTGGTTCAAGAAAGAAAAGACGAGAAAGAATGTTTTAGTTTAGAGGAAAGGGAGAAAGAACGGAAGGTTAAGTTTGAAAATGAGTTTTTTTAAGTGTTACAGTTTAGCAAGGCCGAGATGGTATGACTCAATCACAGAGCTCACCAGAAATTAGTTAAGACGTGAAAACAGAGAATGCGACACTAGGCATGTACAATAGAAATCCTGATGTATCAGAGCTTCCAAAATCTACTTGATAATCTACAAATACCAGAAAAATCCTACCTTTACAGAAAGGCCTACTTTATCCCCTTTCAGAGTATGGACTGTGACAAATAATGTATGTCGGAAAAATAAGTATCTTAAAAACCTCTAAACATTAGTATGTATCTTAGAGACTTTGTTAGTTTTGTCATCAAGCCAAAAAGAAAAGTTACCAAATTTAAAGGAAAAAAATAAATGACTCAAGAAAAAAAAAGAAAACAAACACACTCACACTAACCAAGCTAAAGAGCACACACACAGTCCACAGAGGCGGCACAGCAGAATTACCTTTCTATCCTCTCTAGGAAGGATAGAGCAGTCTCCTGGAGTATAATCCCATATCTTTTTGGGAGGCTGATGGGAAGCAGAGGAGGAAATGAAGAAATGAGCATAAAGACATAAAGACAAACACGGAGGCTGGCTCAAACGAAGAGGGGCACACTGGGAGAACCGGACCAACATAGAAGTCAACTCGGAACAAGGGCTGGGGACTTGAGGACACAAAGCTGCCCGCCCCAGGGCGATCCGGAACTACCAGCTAGGAAGTGTGTTTCTGTGTCTGTGTATAAACAGCAAATCATTGTTGGATCCTAAATACTGAAAATATTAAAAAAGGGGAAGCATTAACATGATTTTGAACAAAAGTAGAAATTTCCAAATTCCTCATTGTGAATTTCAACCTAGGATTGACACTGGAGATTTTACATTTTTCCCACTATAAAAAATTCACTGTATGTTAATAAAATGTGTGAACCTAGAGGTTTGGCTGCTACAGGGTAAACAGAACTAAATGTGTTTCTGTGGACTGTAGCAAGGAAATCATGCATAAAAGGGGCATTAATGCACTAGAATATTTCATAGTTTTTAACTCTCCTTTACAGTTTAACTAGATTTTAACAATATTGCTCGTTATAAAGACACACCTTCCATGCTCCTTTGAGTACAGAGTTTAAACTTAAAATTTAAACAGTAGACTATAAGGCTGTTTTTGTTTTCTGTTTTAAGCTTTTGTGTTAGAATCAGAGCTACACTTGTAAGATGGAGACCTACTATGACACTGTTGTAGGTTCAGCAAGGGAGAGATACGGTACAAAGGACATCCAAAAGTTACGAGACACTTCCAACCCTGAAGCTTCTCTCTCACTGAGTGGACTTTTTTGTTCTACCTACTTACAGCTGAAATTTCTTATACAATGACCTCTGGGGAGATGAGAAAGAAGAGACTATTCAAAGCTCCTGAGATTCTAAGCAAATTTCATTATAACTGACTCTATGCCTGCATTCAAACTGGTTTATTTTGAGAAATTTTGCCTCAAGTGTATATGAAAATCCTGCCAATTTCTGTAGAAATCTCAGTAAAAAAGAGAAGAAAAAGCTGATGCTCAGGTTCTCTGCACTGAATCTGCAAAAGAAAAGTAATCTGATTCCAAAGTGTGCTCACCAAGGATAACAGCAGGTCGGCACTGTCATCTCCATACATGTACATTCTAAGCTTTGAAGTAAGTGACATTAGCAATTATCATTCATCTCTAACACTTCACCTGGGAGCAGACTTTTTAAAGTCACACACATTACCATATCCATTTCTTTATTGAAAAAGAACCCAAAATAAAACAAAAAGACAATGTTTACAAATTAACTTAGTTTTAAGTAACCTCTAAAATGGTCCTGGAATCTTGAATTATTTACTATTCCACAATAACTTGTTGAGCTAGAAGGTATTATAGCCAGGATTTTGCTGAAATTTTGAGTTTATTTTGAGTGGACTGAAGTGAACAGGTGGTGGAAGAAAGCAGTTTAGCTTAAATGTCCAGTGTCAAAGTTCCAGCAGGCTTTACTTCGGGTAAGTGGACCTGAGTGGATGTGAACAACAATGTTAAAAGTAGAAACAAGAATCTAGATGATTCAGTAGGAGTTTTAATTTCATTCTGCTTCTCAATGGCTGAAAACTTTTCCAAATCAACTTTTAGGGTTCATACTTTTATTCATGTCTCTTACTCTTATGGTCCACAAAGGTAAGGGAAGGAAGAGAGGGAAAAAATTCTCCCTATCACACTTTTCCCCCAAACTTTTTGGCTCAACTAGATAATAAGCCCACCTTTCGGATGCCTCAAACTATAAGGAACTATTCATCACGATGCTGTTCCTTAGAATATGGACATTAAGATATCTTGGCAAGTCTTCAAAAGTATTACCTTTCAAAGCAAGATCTACACAAAAGACAGCAGTTCCATCAGGACTCTGAAGTCTTTTGCAGGGAATGTGCAAGACTTCAAAGAAAATGCCATCATAGAAAGTATGTCTAAGTCTTCAAATAATTAAGGACAGTTAGAGCAATGGGTTAAAGACGAAGACTTCAATATGCAAGGGGACTGTGTTCTCAATATATATTTGAGGTGGTTGTATGGTTGATAGTTTCCAAAAGAAATAATGTTAATTTACTAAGCTATTTTCTCAGTCTACTTAGTGTATAATGGGACTAAAATACTGTTTATCATTGACAAAAATTGTTTCTGATGATAGATGTAGAAAAACAAATCACAACTAATTAGAAAAAATTTTCATAACTTTTTCCCAAAAGATAATATTTCAGATAAAACTGGTTCAGTTACTTGGCAAATAAGATGGCTGGAAAATTGTGGGTTCTGAAATAGCTCACAAAATCAATGACATGGACTCTTTATTAAACATAATTTAAATAGATTTCACTGTTCTGCTAGAAGCTTTTGCTTTCCTTGATGAAAATGTGTTATTATTGTTAAACATACCAATCAAATCATGAGGTGGGAGGCAACTATAGTATGTATGTCAGAAGAAGCTTTTTTGTGGAATAATGCAACAGGTTTTGAGAGAGAGAAGAAAAAGAAAATGGTACAGATTCTGTTCTGTATTTTCATGTGAAAAAGATTGCCTGAGGTGCCTTGATGTCTAAATGGTGAACAGCGGAGAAAAAAGGGAGGGAAAGTAGAAGAAATAGGTGTGCCCCAAGCCTTAGAGAGGGGGAGACGAGGGCTGTTTGGACAAGACTCGTTCCCCGTCATTGCCCCTAGGTGGCGCACTTCATCAAGGATCGGTCCAAGACCAGTGTCCTGGAGGGATCAGAACAAACCCCCGTTTGTGCAGGCAGAATGTGTGATGCTGTGAAATTTAACATTTCACTGAGCTATAAAGTTGATTCCTGTCTGCATATGAAACTATCATCTCAAACTATAATAATTCAAACGCTGGACTTAATATTTTGCATTTCATACAAATATCTAATAAAATGTTTTATTTTCATATGCATATTGTCTCCACTTAAATTCTCTTCACAGTTTTAATAATTAAGACTTTAAATAAAGTAAAATTTTAATGCCAGGGCCATCTTAAGGGGAAGGATGAGCTCAGTTCTCCTTTCTATTTCATATTCCTCTGGTTGAGGACAAAGAAAATCATCCTTCAAGTGTCACAGTCAATTATCATCAGTGTCAACTCAAAGATATTACAGGGAAGCTGCAGAGCATTAGGTTGAATATTAAATTTGCTAGAATTCCTAACCTTTATTCCAAACTTTGGAAAATACTCTCCTACTTCATAGAAATCATTCCCTCGAAGATGCCTAGAATGGGGTTGTGCTTGCGTGTTGCATCTGCATAGAGAGGCCCCCCTTGCCTGCTGTTGCTCTTGCTGTCCGTTTGTGCTCTCTGAGGCAGGAACCATGCTGGTTTGTCAGTGTGTAACGCATTTTCCTCCTTGCCTTGAGCATCCCATAAAGACATTGGTCAAGGTAGTGAACCAGTGGCAAAGATAATGCCATCCACAGGTATGTGATACTTGTCAGTAGTGTGTGTATGTTGGGGTGTCCCAAGAGAAGCAATGATTTAGCTGTGTTTTTTGAGATAATCTGCTAAGATATACTTCCAGAACTCACTGTCTTTTTTTTTTTTTTTTTTTTTTTTTATGAAGTAAAGTAAGGAAAGCTCACAGTTTGGAGCGAGATGACACAGTCCTGCTCTTGACAACCAACATGACTGCTCCCATTTCCTGAGTTCCTTACACATGGACCTGATTCTTTAGCAGGAACAATGCATCAACAGCATTATTTAAAAAGGCGTATAACCACTGAAGCTATTAAACTTACCGGTTTCCCAAACTCCAATTCCGAAAAGAATTTATACCAAGGTTCATTCTTTAAATCTATCTCTTCTGGGCTTATATCCCGACTCTATAGGGGTTGGTGATAGGGAAATGGAAGAAAGAGAAGGATAACATTATGAAAAGATTACATAGGAACAGGCCAGTAGAGATGCAGTGGTTTCCAGGTGTATACAGCAACTGCATTCAAGAGTAGCAACTGCCCACTTTGACTGGTATCAGCAAAAACAGGAAAGATAGGATGTGTGAAACAGGGAAACTGGGGGAGAGCAGGGAGAGTCATTCCCAGTCCCAGAGCAGAAGCAGATGGACTGGAGACGGTGAACTCTACCACACTGCAGCTCTTCATGGGTCCAAAATCTGATATGGGTCCAAAAGCATTCCTTAGTAACTTTAAGTATTGTGGGGGGCAAAAAGAAATCCCTTATTTCCTCTTACAAAGAACTCTTAGTTACTGGTGAGCACACCAAACATTTAGCATCTATGCCAGTTAAGTAGAGCAAACAGCTTTTATGGGCTAGTATAGTTTTAGTACATATTTGCAAGGCTGCCTTGACACCTATGAAAGCCGATTTGTTAACACTGCATCTTTAATGGCACATGGGTAGGTGAGAAACCATGTCTTGTACACAGTAAAGTAAAAGATGATGTAAGTAAAAACAGAAGACACGAGTGAAAAACATTTTAAACAAGTACCCAAGGAGGATGAGTATAGACAGGATATATACTGTGTTCTAAAAAATGTTAAAGAGCTGAGAAAAAATTAAGTGACAGAAAAGCTGGACACGACAGATAACAGAACAGGGGGAAGAAAACTTCTGGGTTATGTTACAAAAATAAGTTATATTTCTCACTTTATATAACTCTAAGAGTTATCACATATATACTTCCATGCTATTTAATATTGAATCAAATATGTATAAGCTTCTGGTACCTTACTGTGGGAACATGGATTTCTATAAATAATTAGTTCAGAAGTGAATGTCTGGAAAGCAAATCAGGTTCTCCCTTTAATAAATGCCAGCTACGTTCATATCAGCTATGTTTGAGGCTCGCTGCTTTAAAATCACGTATGTGTATGTTTCAAAAAACTTTGATAATAAGAAAAAGAAAGCCATCGTGATTTTCTGCAACAACCTAAAATATAAAATGTATGTTTCTTACTAAGACTGCAAACATCACATAAGAAATTTTACCTCCAGGCTAACCGCTGGAAGGTATATGCAGAAGCGGGTTGCTGAGCCCCCAGTAGATATCTGTCTTCGGTGCTCCTGCATCACAAAGCAGCTCTTCCTGGCTATATTTTTCTTAATGAATCAGTTAATAGTACTTTCTCAACTTGTAGAAAAAGCTGCAAACTGTCTTAATGACATTTATCAACCTCTTTTCCAAGGTCCTGTGAAAAACCTATACTATTGCCTTGACTTATTGTTACAAGTAGAGGACAATATGGATATACTGCAGAAAACTTTTAATTCAAATTAAACTAAGACAAAATCAGAAACATAGGTATGTCCTACTGCACCCGATAAATCTGTTTTGAATGTCTCTGGAGACCTATGGCTTTGATCTTTAAGAGGAAGGCTTGCCCTCCCTGAAGGTAAATGAATTCTGTATTTATTCAGTGAAATGAAGCACAATACCAACAAAGACACAACCATTTGAGAATGACAGCTTAGACACTGGAACACTCTAGATTCTAATATGGAGTCTCATGAAACTTATTTTATGTTTATTTTTACAAAGAGTATTTATAAACTACTTCTTAGGAACAGGTTAGGCTTTTAAAAAAAAAATTTAAATGTACCAACTCTTGGGAAACTCCCCTGAAAGTTTTGGGATTTACAGTCCTGGAAGGAATAACTCATTTTATTCTCAAACGCTGTGTGCAGACTGTCTTACTGATGATGTTAATGATGTGTCAAGAGTAGAACCAGGAGGTATATGAAACAACTTGAGTCCAGAGCCTTGGATCCAAAAGCCTCCATTCTTCAGACAGCCCAGAAATAAGGCCAACAGCAACACCATACAGAACTACCACCTGCATTTGGCCTGTCAGATATAACTCGGCTGTAAATCCAATTAGGGAGCAAATCAGTAGGATTTGTCCTTCTGGATACAGAAGGACCCCTGTTCTGGCAGCCAGGGCAAATTCCACTATCCTAGGCTACATTCTTTGCTACTGCAGGTGATTCTTTCCCCAGCTTGATAAAATCCTTGGAAAGGATTGCTGCTTGAATGGGAGCCAGAAATCAGCTTGAAGTTTTAATTGAATAAGTCCTCTGAATGTGGAATGCTCATTTGTAAAACACTTCATAATGGTTTGGGGGGTTTTTTGTTTTCCGGTGGTACTGGGGATTGAACCCTGGGCCTTCACACTGGGCCACATCCTCAGCCCCTACACCTCCTTTTGAGACAGGCTTTCGCAAAGTCACTGAATTGTACAGCCTGGGCTCGAACTTGCAGTCCTTCTCCCGCACTCTCCCAGAGTACTGTGACTCTAGGCCTCAGCTACCAGACTCCCTTGTTCATGGTTCTTGTATCCATATTATCACACTTGACTGTCTTTACTCAATTATTTCAATAGGATTGGCAAACCAGATAATATTTTTATTTGTGGATGAAAACATGAAGATCAAGTCACTTGCCCCAAGATATATGACAGAGTCAGAACTGGAATAGAGCTCAGATCTTCTAATTCCTGTTCCACATTGTTGTATCCTATATGAAATTCTACTTCTCATACTCCAAATGATAGGAGATAGACTCACTGAGTTTGCAGACGACCCCAAGCTAAACCAGGACTGGTGACTCACATTAAATGCTAGGAAAGGAAGACAGTGATGGTGAACTGGGAAGAAACCTAATTGGGTTAATCCCCTTGTTTTACACTCTCAAATATATATCATGTCTGTAATTACTTATACAACTATGGGAACAGGGAGCCCAATGTCTAACCCAGGGCTTGGCACGTAAGAGTCACTCTGTCTATGTGTACTTGTTGAATGAAGCTTATATCATGTTCAGTAAGGGACTTTAAAGTATAAAGAAACAAAGCCTGAAAAAGGTCATTTCTGACAAAGCAGGCACCAACCAATAGATGTCCAACGCTGAAGAAAAGAAAATGGACTTTTACCATGATAAAAGGGGCCAAGTGCTACTTAGACCTTTATGAGTGAGTCAAATAGGTGAAGAGGTGATCAAAGTTGCGAATTCATGGGGGATTTTGAAAGCAGTAATGTTACATGGGTCTGGGGCGGTGTGAGTATGCTCCTGGGGCAAGCTGACTTCTAATTGTCTCTCACATTCAACCCTTTCTGCTACAAACACACAGATGTGCCCCTGAAGCCATCACTGAGGTTGACAGGGTTAAACAGATGTGAGTACTGCAAATGGAAAAAGGAAAGTGGGTTTTTCCCCAAAAGGAGATGGATAACTAAAAGCTAGTTAAGATTCTACATCTGTCACTAACCTACACAGTTAACCACTGTTAACACCCACCCACCCCGAGATGTGTAAGGGTGTGGAGATGCTCAAATTCTGGCAAACCAGAGAGTGGCTACCAAAGGCAAGACCCACCCACTGAAACTCATTGCAACTTTTTGTTCATGTGATTAAAAATAATAGGAAAATAATTAAAAGTAAAAGACTAATTCATCTACTGTGAAGGGCAGACTCAAAAGATTAAGATTCAACTAAAATTCTTCTCTAAAATTCAAAATTTCTCTTTGGAAGAACAGAGCTGAATTGAGTGAAAAGCTCTGAATTGAACTACTGGATGGAGGTTGCCTCCCTGGTGGGCCTTTGGTGTTTATGTCCTGTTACATATGGGCCTTAGGCCGGCTGGACAGAGGAGCTCCTGTGTAGAAACACTCACATGGTGCTTCGCCAACAAGGACATGGTCTCCACTACTCCCCAGAGAGCCCCAGGGGCACACTGTACGTCACTTCCCGGGGTTTGAAAAAACAATGTTAATGATATCAAAAACTATGGTATGGGAGGTACTTGCACCATTATAATACCAATGAGGAAAACAAAACGTGCTGTTGTTTCCCAGTTCTGAAAGGTGTTTAAATTACTAAGAAAAGAAAATGGAAACAAAGAAGAAACTAATAAAAAGAATGTGTCTTCAGTAAAAGCCATGGCAATTTATGAATGGTCATACAAGATCGCCAAAACAAAGGATCCAAAGGCCCACAGGGTCCCTGAAATCATTTCAATGTATGAACATAGACGGTGGGCTCCAAGTTGGGTATTTAAGTGTTAGGAATTTCCCTGAAGAGCCGGACTTTCTTTCCAGGAACTCCTGGATGGAAGGTTACCTTCCATGTCCATTACCAGGAACCATCTAATAGGCAGAAAACCTCCATGAAGAGGGAGCTGAGGAAAGATCCTCTGCTTGTCTCTGAAATTTCTGCTTAAAATAACTGTGGGGCATAGCAAATGCTGAAGAATGGCAGCTCTAAAAGCACTTCTGAACTGTTGACCTTTTCTCCTAATTAAAATTACTTAGCCCTCTGTGCTTTTAAAGACGTCATACTTTTATTTGAGTAAAAGTTAAATCAATTATTCCGTGAAAACATGTAGAGCAAAGGGGTGGAGGGAATATAATTTGAATCCACATTTCAAGGCTCAGTTATTCTGTGCTTGGTGTGACAACAGCATGTAATAAACACCACTCCCCAGCATAACCATTCCACCCTGCTGTCATGGCTGGAGGGCTACAATGTTTATAGAGCTCTGGAGAATGCCTTTATCATAGTCAGAATTCTGAGCCAGCTTTTTCTATGAAAGTAAATAAAGGGAAGCATGATTGGCAGATATGAAAGAAATCCATTTGTAAAAATTCTTCCCATTTCAGAGAAGAGGCCATTTTTCTAGGGTGGTCTGCTATGCCTACACAGGCCATTTTCCCACTAATAATTGACTGGAGATGTGAACTTGTATAGGGAACCAAAAACTAGACTGAATACGAAGTTAGTTCTCAACCTTACACTTATCAAAAAAGGAAGACCCAAAGACACATTGTAATGGCCTGGGCTTTCTGCCAACATATAACATCCTATTAATTATTTAGCTTTTACTTACGTATTAGTAACTTCTATAAAATTTATGCACGTTCAAATAAAAAAATCACTTTTTAAAAATCCTGACTTCATTCCAGTTAACAATAAGCCTGATAAATTAATGGTTAGTTTCTTTTTTAAGAAAGGCAGCAGCAAAATCAATCTTTATGTGAGTAGAAAAATTTAAATTAGTTAAAACCATGCACAAAAGGACCAACAGAGGCACAATAAGAGAATTCTTTAAAAGCAGACTCTGAGGACGTATTTTATGAACACCTGTAAAAATGAAAAGAGTAAAAAAACTTCATATTTTCATTGTCTTCTAAATAAAGCAAGTCTATCTCAAGGTGGAAAGAATATAATCCAACTGCACTATGCACCCAGATTAAAGAACACAGGCAGAGTGAAACAAAAGAACTTTAATATGCACATTACCATCTTTTCGTTGTTCAGGACGGAAGACTTGCCCGGCTGATATTCATAAATGCTTTTGGGCTCTGCTCGGTATTTTCTGGTATCCACTTTCTTATCTGGGGGCTCCCAGTCATTTCTGTAAAAAGAAAATCTTATTAGAGCTATTTACATAAAAACTGACATCAGCTTCTCCCATGGTCTGGCTTTGGTTGGCTGTAGTCTAATCAAGGGATTTTTATATCCAAAGCATAAAAATCAGAGTCAAGGGTGAACAATTTAGTTGTGCTGGCCTGCTTCCCAAAACAACCAATTAAATTTCTTTCTTCACTTCACAAAGGATTTGAGGTATCTTATGCTCAAACCCAAGCCTCAGAAAGTAGAGAGGAGATGGGAGAAGGGAAGAAGAAGAGGCAAAGCTTTCCCTGGGAAAATCTTTCACCTTGCTCTGCTCTCAGGAGTTTATCTTTCCCCAACAGGTCTGTACTTTCTGCTCATGCTAGTGCAGAGAGAGAATACAGGTGCTTGAGCCAATCAACTATGGTTCACATCCCTGCTATACCACCTGCTTGGCAGGTGATCTTAACTAAGCACTTTATGTCCCGGAACCTCAGTTTCCACATCTGAAAAGTGGAGGATGTTGTACAGATTAGATGACACAGTACATGTAAATCACTGAGCAGAACACCAGGCTCTCAGCAACTATTCAATAAACACTGCTATTACTATAACTGTGTTCTTCCCTATCCCACATCCTACCCTGCTACCCACCAATCTCAGCCTTTGACCTAGATTCTTAAGCTGGCATCCAGAAATGGCTTTCAGAAGATGAATTCTCAGAAACTGTCTGCAAAGAATTTTGTGCATGTGCATCACTGCACTTTGCACTGGTTGTATTTCAATTCTGAGTAAGGCTGAAAATTTCTTAAAGGCAGGACCATAACTTACTTACATTTATATTTTTCTATAACATCTGGTTCAATCTGTACAAAACGTACCCCTTAGGTTCTTAATGAATGCTTCTATAGAAGATTTATGAGTGCGCCCAACCTTCCTTTCAAATTAATTACCACATTTCTAAGGTGGATACCACTTTAGAAATGTGGTAATATATACCACTTTGGTATATATTTTTTGACGGCCTAGAGGAAGGAAAACTGGATGTGTATTTAAAGAAATAGTCTCATCTGGCCAAGTCTTTTGTGTGTAGATATTGGTTGGGATGGAAAATGCATGGGACATTTGTCCAGATAATATGGCATTACTGTTCCATAGGGCATTTTTAGAGACAATAATGCAATAAAAGAAAATTGGACTGTTCTGTACAAACATTAAGAAATAACTAATGTCATTAGAAGAAATCCAAGCATTATGCCTCAATAATACATGGTGTGTAAGTAAACTGACATTAAGAAATGTGGCTTTATTGATATTATAATCTTTGCTATGAATACAATATAAACACAGATTTAGTAGGTGCAGAATAGGAAAGCCCATGACAAATCTTGTAGTTGAGATTTTTCTCATGGAAAGGTCAAAAGTGATAACAATTATAGCTAGCATTAATTAAGCCCATACAATGAGCCAGGCAATGTGCACTACCTAATTTTATTTTTACAACATTGCCAACAAGAGGTCGTGCTATTGTTGTCCCAATTTTACAGATAAGGACACTGAGACCCAGGAAGAATAAGTCACTGCTGATAGCTGGCAGAGCAGGGACTCAAATTCTAAGTTCCTACGAAAAGAGGCTCTTGGGTATCAGTAAATGATGAGGCACTGGCTGGCAATGATGAACACAGGACAGGAAGCACTCACCTTTCTGGGCTGGATTTTAGTGAGGAAGAACGAGCTGGGAGGGGAAGTGTGGCTGACCTCTTAACCACCTTCTCACCATCAATGTAGCTCATCTCACTTTTTGAGCGAGGCACAGAAAGAGGAGATTTTGCTGGAAAAAGAAAGTACATACAGAAGACTTTAAAATCAATAGTAACTAAAGCCAAAAGATACCTTCCCTCATCCATCGTCTTCCTTTCCTCCCCGACAACCAGGAAACTCAATCACTTACTGTCTTCAGAAAAGGAGTATCGAGGAGAGTACAGATCTGAATCCTCATCTAGTGAACAAACAAGAACATAATTAGGAAAAGTGGGCTACGGTAGGAGAATCAAGGTGCACGTTCCCCATTTCCACAGGCTTGCACCACATCCACACATACCAGCGAACCCAGTGGAAAAAGGAAGAATCAAACGCTAGAAGCTATGCACCACAGCAGACCACAATGGAGAGGAGTAAGCTTTGAAGAGTTCCCTAACCCAAGAGGACCTGCAGTCCAGACCGGATATTCATAGCACTTAGTGGACGGCTGCTGTTTATCACCAGGAAATAAATGGAGTGAAATAGCTGAAGGTCTCCCACAAGAGAATCTCCACCACCAAAGCTGGAATTCAGAGTCCCTAGTTTGGCTGAATGGGAATGGGAGCTGAGATGGAACTAGTTGCTCATACTTAGTCTCTGATCTTGCCTGCTGAGTCCCATGGAGTGACAACAGGCCTCATTCTGGGGCTTTTTGAGACTGCTAGTGGGTGGGTAACCTGAAGGTTGCGCTTGCTAGCTACCCTCCTCAGCTTTCACCTGTTTAAAGTGTTACACTTCCAGGTACAACATCATTAATAAAATGGTTTTGTAGCTATAGGAAGAGACTGAGAAAATTTGCATCACAATTTGTTTTGATTCCATGTTAACCTGGCTTCACAAGTGGCAATGCGTTATACTATCTTCTCTGCAAAGGACTGCTTGAGGCAAGTGTCTCAATTGTGACCCTGGAACAAATCAAACTCGCAGGAGTTTCTATGGAGCAAGAAGGCTTTGCAGTGGAGTAGTACACATCCCTAAGTTAGCTGAACACCCGGGCTCCAAAACTTGCTGAAGGGAGACAAAATCTGAAACCCTCACAGAAGGGGCTGTATTTTTTAAACTAAAAAAAATCAGTCCAAAGTCATATGACAACAGATGTCTATACTGGATCTGCTCTAAAAATGCAGACTATTTAGCCATCCTATCCTTGACAATCCTCCCAAAGCATCACTCTAAAGAGCATCTAAAACAGTCAGACTTTCTCATTATCTGATATTTTGCTGATCCAAATTCGGAACTAATGCTGACGGACTGAAGACCCAATTCTCCTCTTAAAATCTGTAACAGCTTTAGCGAAGCACAGAACCCAACCACAAAGACAAGTCAAAAAATCTAACATGCTGTGTAATCAACCCCTTGTTTCTATGCAAATCGTTTTGTTTCAGAGAAGAAAAGTCAGAGTCTTTTATGAAATGTAAAGCTCACAGTGCTGTTATTTTGAGTGGAGTGGCTTTCAGAGACAGCCTCTAACACCCTTTTCACACTCTCCTCCCCCACTTTTCCTCTCCTGGGTCTCCCTCAGCCACAGTAAGGGACAGGCATTGGATACCTCCCGCCTACCTCCATTTCGTCCTTTTATCTTTAAGGATAAGAATTAGTTAAATCAATGTTGGACAGCGTTTAGGATTTTTTACCAACACAGTTAAGCCTTTTCACAATCACAAACTGAATGTGCAAGTTTATTTACATGAATTTATGAAAACAGGGCAGGGGAAAGATAAAATGGGATCCAGAAATATATTTTTGTAAAGACTGTTCTGAAGAATTTTCTGTTGCCAGATTTTGTTATTGTTGTGAGTGTTGTTTTTAAACAGGAATTCTGATTATTATACTCGTAAAATGCCATGGTATTTTTAAAAAAACTAAACTAAAAGTCAGCTTTGATTGTGGAGGCTTGATTAGAAAAAAATGGTGAATACTCCAAATGAAAAGTGAGCTTAGTTAGAAATTAATACACTGCTGCTTGAACTCCAGCATAGTATTTTAGTTCAAAACCTTGTACCCCTCTAAATTATGGAAAAATTAGTCCTTCAGGATGTATGGCAGGTGAAGGTTAATTTATAACAACTAGCTGGGTCATGAAGCTAGAAGTTATGAGAGAAATGGCACTTAAATATTCAAAAGTACATAAATTCTAAACTTAAAACAAATATTCCTTGGAATTTTCTACTGTGGAATTTTAGAAGACTTATTAGAAGACAATGAAAAACAGTTTTTATAAATGGAAAAACAGCCCTACTTGAGGAATTTCACAGTTTATGTGCTTTGAAAATCAGAAGGAGAAATAGGAAAGCTGGGGAAGAGGGCAACAGAAAAGGCTGAATGACTGAATGCTCTCAAAGCTATTCTTTAATCTGGTGTAGGCAGAAAAAGAAGCACCACGCACCCATGCCTAACATACGGCAGGGGTCTCAGTAACAGGCTCACACAGTGTCTGAGGGATCTAAGGCAGAGTTCAGTCCATGGGCTTCTAAGAAAGCAAAATGAAGTTCGACAGACTCATCTAAACTTTAGCAATTAAAACAAATTGCAGGAGATGTTCATTTATTCTCTTAATTTTTGATGTCTATCTTACAAAAGTAATGAAAGGAAAATTTACCTCACCTAATGAATAAACAGTAATAGTACCTCTCATTATTAACTGCCTCCATTCTTAATAATAGTTAGATATTTACTAATATCATCTCATTCAAACTTTTTAAAAACTCCTACGGGAAGTAAATACTTCATTTTACAAATAAGGAAATCAAGGTTCAAGCAGGGTTAGAAAATTTACCCTCAACTGTGCAATGAGAAAAATACAAAGCAGGAATGGATTGAAGATCTTCTGACCCCACTTCCCATGTTGCTCTTAGCACTATGACAGGAATGGCTGCTTTGCTCTTCACCCTAATCTTATGTGCCCAATCTTGGGAAAAGTGGGAGATATTCCACTATTAGTTTTATTATGGAAAAAGCACAGAAAGGTATCATCCTGAAGCTCAAGTGCATAGTTGCTCAGGCCAATTTCTAGACCCTGATGACTTGGGTCTATTTTTCTGTATCAACCTACCATGAGTGATGCTTAGGTAATTTTCTGAGTTTACCCTTCAAACTCTTAGCTGTCCTCCTTCTGGTCTCCAGAGACAATAGGTGACAAGAAGTCACTCTTGCTACAGCTTCCATTTGCTGTTTTTTGAAATCTTCTCCTGGTAAGCTACAATTACACTGGGAACATAGGTAAGCTGTGAGAAGTGCCAAGGAATGAGAAAATTGAGTATAAGGAGCACTCATTTGATTTCTTTCCCTTTTTTTTGGCGGGGGGAGGTACTGGGAATTGAACTCAGGACCTCACGCTTGCTAGGCAGATGCTGTGCTGCTGAGCCATATCTCCAGCCTTCTTTTCATTTCTGTATACACAAGATCTAGCTAAGAGAGAGAGAGATTAACTATAGCTGAGATACAATTAGTAAAACATTTCTCAAGTTGTCTATGAACTAACATCAGAAAGTCTACCCTCACTTCTCCAAGGGCTCCTTACGCAGATCACAGCAGAGTCAGTTGACCTGGGTCCTGGGACCCCTGCTCACAGCAGAGCTGCCTGCTGTCTGTGCTCCTCAGAGCACCAAGCAGCAGACACCAAACACTGGCAACAACACTACAGACCTGCTATGTCAGTGCTTCCCAGAAGTTTTGACACTATGTAGGATTCACACAGGTAAACACTTCAGGACCCTAAAGGCCCCTTCTAGGCCCTGATGTTCACACACCAGTGATCTTCCCGCGGGGTTTGGGAAAAGCCTTGGTAGCTCAATTTGGGGATAGCTAGCCCCTTAAAACTGCCAGGAGCCACGAAATTGCCTTTTCAACCACAGTGACTTTAACTGAGTCTCTAAGTGGCTTTCTCTGAGTCAGCTGTGGGTTTCGTTGCTATTGTTTGTTTTATTTATATGTTTAGAATTCATAAAAATCTTAAAGATAACTGAAGAAAATGCTGGTGAAAATCATGGTTCTGTTTACGCTATGTAATTGACCAAAATGGGACATAAAAAAATCAGCATTTGTATAACCACTGCCTATATCATTTGATTTCCATTCTATGCACTTCTTAGGTCTTCAAACCTAAAATTATTTTTTCTAATATTAATTGCTTTTTTGGTGCTGGGGATTGAACCCAGAATCACTGGGCATGTTAAACACACTCTCTACCACTACCACTGAGCTATAACTTCAACCCCTCTCCTGCCCTTTTTGGGGAGCTATGGGGATCGCATTTTGTTGCCCAGGCTGGTCTCTTGGACTCCTGTGCTCAACTGATCCTTTCGCCTCAGACTCCCAAGTAGCTGGGGCTACAGGTGCATGCCACCACAGTCATCTCTACTGGTTCATTTTTAACACAATCTTTTTCTATGCTCAGCATAATTCTCAGGCTTTACTCCATGCATTTAGGGAGAGTGAGGAAAAAAGGAAAAAGACAGATAGGTATACAACCCCAAAACAAAAACAGCAAGGAAAAAGAGCATGTATGCAGCAACAGGTACACAAGTCTTAGATGGGAGAGGAAAAGTAAGCAAAAGAGGTAAGAAGGAGCAAGAAAACCAGGAAGTCTGGGAGCTTGTGGAAAGAGACACAAATTTGTCTGTTTTTGTCAAAAGCAACTAACCTTTAGATTAATTAAAGATTTGAAGGAATGAAAAAAGACCAGGATAAGGTATAGAGTACTGCAAAAGACATATTCAGAAAAAAATAGAACTCTGAGGACAAGATGAGATAGATCAGGGAAAGAGTCAGAAGAGAAAGTCTGGGAGGACTCCTCGGCTAGAAAGAGACTCACCATTATCTTCTATCAGCTTCCTGGATCCTGGGGGTGGAAAAGGAACAACTGTTTTGTTCTTAGCTATCCTACCAGCCAAAGACGCCTGCTCTTGTAGACATAGACCATCTGGGCAGCTGTCATAAGGAGAGCAAAGGTGACTGCCACAAACTGCTCGGCCCCTCCTCGGGGCAGTGCTAACCAAAGTTTGAGGCAGGAGACACAAATCTTGGCCAAGTTTGTTCACAATAGAATGCTTTGCTTGAACACGAGCAAAATAAGGCTATTCTTAGAAATCTTACAAGGCTAATAGAGTATTATTTTAACTTAACTACAGAAACCCAGCCTCCTAAATCCTTGTCCTAGTGCAAGCTCAAGTAGGAATGAGGAAAAACCATGACGGGACAGACCACCACAACACCACACCCTGGCCACGCCCAGAGGTGGTGTCCAGAGTGGCAGGGGAAAGGTGGTCTCTAGACCTTTTCCTCTGCTGTGGGTCTTTCATTCTGATGTTGTCCAGTGGGTCCTCACAGGCCATAGACCATGAAGTACCACATTAGTTACCTGGTTCTGCTTCAGATTCTGAGGCATCATCTGAAAATGAAGTTTCTTGAAATCAAATGTGCCAAATGAGCCAACATCATCTAGGCATATTCAGAGCACTATATCCAAATTCCCAAAACTGTATCTGGGCAAATATCTTCAGTTCTTTAGGGGCTGGGGAAGGGTAACACTACTCCTTCCTTTTTAGAAATTCTTAATCATGGCCATGCATCCCGCTCACTCAGGGAGCTTTTCTAACTTCATGTTCCCGACACTCTGCCAAGAGACATGTGCAGCCTGGGGTAGGGCTGACTTGGGAAACTGGATGCCTGCAGGTGCCAAAGAGGTGCCAAAGAGTCTTCGGCAAAGAAGAGAACAACCAAAAACATACAATGTCTGAGGAGAGTTGAAGGAATCAGCAGAGCAGTGCAGCAGAGAAGTAAAAGCCCATGTTTGGGGGCCCCACACACCTCGGCCGAATCTTGGTTCTCCCACTGATTGTTACCTTGCACATATTACTTAATCTCCCTGAGCTTCAGATTCTTCACTGATGATACGAAAAGTTACCTCAAGAGATGGCTGGAAGTGTATAAAGGTGAGATAGCAACAGCGATGCCCACAGTGCATAGCCTTATCCTGTATAAGGAAAGTCTCAATAAATGGTAGTGACAGTCGCCACAGTGGTGGTAGTACCATTACCATCAACAGGATTATGACTGTCAGCCCTGGAGGTGCTGCCACTATGCCACTGTCCTTAAATCAGAAGGCAGAGAAGGGAAAGAGGCTATGTTTCTGAAGCTGCTTTGAACAGCTTGTTTTTCTGCCCCCTGATTTATAAAACCAAGGTAAGTATTTATAACATACAGCAGTGCCCATGATCATAAAATGATTAGAAGGGATTGCTCCTTGCTGGAATTCACAGAGGTTTATTTTTTATAGCATAGGTTAAACCACAGTGATTAAGACACGATCGTTCTGTTTGTCTTCCAAAGGCCTGGCCAGGAGTTGACTTGTTCACTACAACTGGGGCGGGGGGAGGGGGCAGATATGTTAAGCCAGCATAAACAAACATGGTCCTGGCTATTTGAGGAGAGTCAGAGGCAGCAGCCCTCGGCTAGGCTTTAGCAGGGTTGTAAGAGAGAATTCTAGTTCCAGACTCTGAATTAAACAAAATAAAGCAACAGTGACAATAAGTTTCTCCCCCAGAGACAGACTTTGAACTACCAAGGCCTCCCATTTCTTAATGAAGCTGTCTATTTCTTAATGCACATTGAAGTTAATGGGCAGAACTTCCCTAGGCACTAATGTGTCTTTAATACCTTTCTTTAAAAGGTATAAAATCTTTATCAAAAAGGGAGTGCACAGAGCTACGTGTGGTGGCAGAGACGTATATCCCAGCACTCTGAGAGACTCAGGCAGGTGGGTGGCAAGTTCAGGCCCAGCCTGGGCCATTTAACGACTTAGGCCCTCATAGCTTGGTGTAAAGGCTCTGGGTTCAGTACCACAATATAAGTGGGGTGGGGAGTACATCGAGCTCAGGGTCACTCTCAGGAGCAGCACAACAGACAGGGCCAAGAGGCTCTGTCGGAGCTCACAGACATCAAAATCAAACTATGGATCCAGAAATCCAGAATCTTGTGAAACTTAAAAGAGAAAAAAGTAAAACCCCAACAGTTTTTTAAAAATTATCTAGCTCCAGTGTTTCCCTCATTTGTAAAAAGTCTTTGTCTAACTGAACACATGAGTGATCTGTGCCTGGATATGTCATCAGGCGGGGGCGTGAGATGGAAGCTACTCTATTTTTAAATATCTCCAGGGAAGCAACTTCTTAAAAACTTGTGCTGAAGTATAATCATCTTTGTTAGTATGAATTTTTTATGTTTAAACTAATTTTGTACTTTTTATTCATTAAGACCATTTCTCCTTTTTTGGTCTTTGAAAATAAAAAATATAATAAGCTTTGCTTTTAAAATATATATGACAAATTGCCATACCATTCCTTATTGGTTATGCCTCTAGGAGAAATAACCCTACTTCCCTCTTGTGTCAGACTTGACTTGTGCCAAGAAGCAGACACTGTTATTGGCGTGGAGCTCTGGGTGTCAGGCCATGAAGTCCTGTATTGAGACCCACAGCCAAGGTGACGAAGGAAACCACTGGGTGCAGCCTGTAACAGGTCTGATGCAATCTTCCAGACTGACGGGAGCCACTGTTCCTCTCCACAGAACTCTCCCTGGAGGGCCTGCCTCTGCCGTGTCCATGGGATACAGCACCTTCTACATACTCTATGTCTATCACCTTACTCTAGCAGGGAACCCTATCTTCTGAGCAGCTAGGGTTTGTAAATCCAGATAAAGCACAAAGCAAGTATTGCAATTAGTCAAAATTACCCAAAGCAAAACTTCTCCGTCACCCAATTCAGCTGCTTCTTCAGCAATGTTTTTGGCTCAAGTCAGCACTCCCAAGAAAGACTAGATAGATTCTTGTCAGTGGTGAAGAAGTCACTGATCACAATTAAGATACCAGCTTTTAGTTTTCTAAGTCTGGGTTTGTTTGGTAAACTTATCATTCAAAATAGGTCCCAGGTATGAAATGGTTTGAAACCACTGACTAGGTCATATGAGACAGATCAAATACAGACAATTGTATTTTAACTAATCCTGGATCTAACCCATCTCATTGTGCCCTCTCATACACAATAACTGATCGGCAACAACCTAGTGAATGACTTTACCAGTAACGAGAGGGCAGTGTAGGATGGCCGGCTGAGGTGACAGAGAACAGGAGCACTGAGATGGTGGCACTGAGGTTCTAAAAGAGAACTCTTGGTTCTACAGACCAAAGCCGTCACTCGTTACATTCCTAAAGTATTACTGAGCACCTACTGTGTGCCAGCAAGGTTTTCTGTGGCCTTCTGGACATATGCTTTCCAACTGCCCTCACAGGATACAGTATGCTCATATGGGCTTGTCCAGCTCCCGGCCAGATGTGAATTTCTGAGGACAGAGTGCTTGTCCTATTTATGGTGCTGTCCTCATTTCCCCGGACAGTGCATGGCACACACCAAGTGCTCCTACTGAACGGAGGTCGGACTATCCAATCTCGGATCCTAGAACATTTAACAGAATTTCTTTCTCTATACTATTCCAGCCCCTTTTTGCTGGGTTACTCAACCAAAGATCAGACAATCTTCGTTACAGTGATCATTTTCCAACTGTTGCTACCAACTTCTCAGAACTTTCACTGACACCTGGACTTTTTGCCCCAGAAAAAAATATCTGTTCAATACAGATGTGGCTAACATCTCAAGCAGGTTAAATCCCTACCCAGCTCTTTGATGAAATGTTTTCCAGCTTGCCCAAATCTTTAGTTTCAAGAGATATTTCCTACCATTACTAAATCTTTTACCTCTTGAAGAGAATTCCTAACCAAAGAGAGATACCCCAAAGGCCTATGACAAGAGAGGACCAGTGACAAGTCAGCTGCACATATAAGAACCTGGTAATGTTTCTGTTGTTAAGAGCTATCAGGTCCACTCAGCCAATCCACCATAATGACTGCATTGCCAAGTTACTGCCCACCCACCAGCACCAGGGGCCCACCCCAGACACCAGGCCCGGGATGGCAAGTACAAGCAGCTTTTCATCGCCTTATAACTAAGCTCTGACAGTTATCCTGTTAATAGTGTAAACCCTCAGGGAATAGGGTTAAAATGCCATCTGGATAGACTCTAGTGAAACAGTCAGCAAGGAGTGGACAGCACCACAAAACACAAGGTCAGAGGGAAGCAAATAAATGGGAGACAGCCTTTAGCCACCAGGAAAATGCCCAGGTAAAAAAGAAAGTAACAGAACCAGTACAAAAGGAGGCACAAAATTTTCCTTTAATTACCTTCGGATTTAGGACTAGGAGTAGATGCAGGAAACTGGTAGGTAGGAGTATAAGGATTGTCCTCTGTAGCAGAGAAAAGTGGATTTTGAAACTACCTACCATGAAGTGGAGAAGCTAACAATTCCCAGTTGTCTCTTTTGAATAATTATTTATTTTAGTGTTATTAAAAGCACACAGGAATCATACTCAAAAACAGATTAATAAATTAGAAAGAACTTAGTTGTTTTAATATAGCACATCATGCAAATGTATGAAATAAAATGTTCACCAACCAAAAACAACTATATAAAAATCTAAAAGCCAAATCTTACGCCTATAATGGAACTCTAAGAACTAATTTAAGGCTAGGACAACAGATATACTGTCTAAATTTATGGTACCTTCAGAATTTTGCTGGATTTCAGGAAGTTCAGGGAATTTGTACGTAGGGAAATAAGGGTTTTCTTCAGGAGTGTCTAGGCAGAGGAGCAGGTTTGGGAGAGAGAATAGAGGAAGATACAAATGGAGAGAATGAACGAGAAGGAATCCACATATAATTTAGACTCCTTGAATTCTGGAACATAGTATGCTTCACTAATTATATGAAAGAAATTCAAATTGCTTTTAAAAATCCAGTCTTTTTGCCTGAATAACTGAGACACATCAAAAAGAGATAATATCATTACTTTTCTTGGACAAAGAATTACACATAAACAGACTCCCGAATGGGCACAAACCTTTAAGTTTTCACTTTTTATAAGCTAGAGATATAAAGTAGGATAATAATAATATGTAATGAAAATATTATCCTAAAATCATCATTTTTTTCAACCAGAGCTTGTGTTGTAGATGTTAGCCTCAAGCAAACAAGTGGAGTCTTAATTTCTCAAACACTACTGCCTCCTTTTAGGGCAGGTAGTTTTGTTTAGAACCTGCACTTTACTTGTGTTAATAACTATAATTCTGCTTGTGGGGCAGAATTAGGTATCTGGCACAAATGCATACACTTGTCACTGCACTTAGCTTTCCAAAGCTAAGTCTGAAGGTGAGAGAGGCACAAATTGCTAGAGGAAATGCAAAGTCATTTCAGGAAGTGATCAGTGGAACTGACCCAATCCAATCACAGAGGTCTAATATTTAGCATCACCAGTATGACTGAGCTCATCCACTCAACCTTAGCAGATTTACTCTTGCCTCAGAAATGTTAGATACTGAGCACCTCAATATTTAGAGACAGTCTGAAGAGGGACACACCTTGGCGCATTCTAAACCCAGCAGGAGCTAATTAGTAGTGATATTAGTTGGCACCTGCAACTAATCAGAGACTGGATATTGGTGGTTTAAGTGGGAACATAGACCAGAACATACTTTCTTTGCATTTGTGTGTCATCCATGCCAGGCAGCCAGACTGGATTTGGGCACAGGATGCTCTGCCTGCAGGAGAAGTGGTACCCTTCCCACAGTGAAGCAACACCCCTTTCAGCTGACTAGCAGCATACGCAGCAATGGGAGCTGGCGAGGTTGTGACCTGCTCCAGCACTGGCCTGAAGTTTTCCCACCATGCTGGGCCACCTGCGGACAGCCCAGCAGCCCGCTGATGTGGAAGCACTGCTCTTTCAGCTTGACCAGGTTTTACTGTGTCAGCTCTTGACTGAGTCTCAGGGCTATCTGACCAGTGCTAGCTCCCGGGGGGATACTTATTTTCTCGTATAAACATAGCCTTAGAGGTGTACTATGCACTCCATTTCACAAGGCCAAATGTCTTCTCCTATGGATTCTGCAACACCCTTCGATGAAGAGAAGGAAGATGAACAGAAAGATACATGACTGGTCCAAGGTCATACGAGTGCTTGGCAGGGGCTGAATCTACATGACAATAGTTTTCCTGACTTCTAGTTCAGGGCTTTCTCAACTTGCCTGGCCCACAAGGCAGTCATGGGCTGACACAGGATGTACCTAAAGCTGGAAGCAGGTGGGAGATGGAGCTGCTCACATCTCAGGCAGATAGGTACTAGAGCACAGGCATAGTGCTAGCCTCAGCCTCCTGCATTCCACAAGAGCAGGGAGGCAAGGCTTGTGAGCTGACCTCCAGTTACAGAGCAGAGGCAGGCACACAGGTGCATCACCCCTCCTGGGTCTGAAGGCAAAGGGCTGGGCTCAGGCAGATCGGTACCGAATGGGATCCAAGCGCAGGACCCAGTCTCCTGGAGTCTAAACAAAATGACTTCAGGCCCACACCACCAGTCAACATATGGGCACTTAGCTTTGACAAGTGAAAATCAGTACCTCTGTTCAGTTTGTGAATCTGCTTAAACATAGTCTTGTACCAGTCTTTTGATCTCTCGGTATTCTGGAGAAAAAGGCAAAAGGTAAAGTAAAATGAAGATTTTGGCATATTTCAGAATTTGTATGATTACAGTATCAAAATCAAACAGAGAAATCACATCTTAAGTCAAACTTCACTCACACTTGTACCTTAAAGATAAAAATTTGGAGAAAGAACAAAGAGTCAAAATTTACAGAATGATATTTAGCCAAAAAGATGCATTTCTTAAAGAAAAGTGGGCAAAGACAGGTTTGAATTGGGTCTACAGTTAATGTTTTAAATTTCTTTTTTTAGAGAGGATTTCTCCCATAGGCCAACTACAAGAAACGGAAGTAAAGCTGCAAGGCAAAGAATACTTGCTTATCACGTTGCACCCCCGCCCATTCTGGGTTATTCTGCAGATAAGTATCTAAGTCACCTTGCATAGGCCAGATTTAGAATGCATACATTAAAATGTAAACCATTACAGTATCCAATGCCAGAGCTTCATCCTCACCACAACTGTGCGTAGTTTTCTCATTATTTTTAAGATAAAAATAAAACAAGGAAGGGGACAGGTGGTTACATCAAATATTTTCACTCCTACTTTATATATGAGGGTGTGAGATATGAGGATACAGATGAGGATGAGAGGAAAAATCAAAGTGATTTTCCCAAGGTCACAGGGATGGGGCAGAAGGGTCCGGCAATGTACTAACCATTGTTATTCTCCTACAACCTGGTTTCGAAATTTTGTACCATTGTTTTCACTGTTTTTTTTTCCTTTAAAATAAAAATAAATAATTTTTTTTAAAAAGTGATCGGAAGGACCTCCTAACAGGATGGTGAGGGGCACAGGTTTGGGAGTTGGCCGAATGCTATCAGCCCCAGGTTGTGCTATTTTGGAAGATTAACATCATCCTTCAGAGTCCATTTCCTCACTGGTGTGGTTTGGATGAATGTCTCCCAGGCAACCATATTTAAAGGTATGGTTTCCGGGGTGGCAGTACTGGGAGGCTCTGTGGACCTTTGGAGGGTAGGAGGTCCTTAAGTCATTGGGTGCATGCCTTCAATAAGGAAGGAGGACCCAACATGTCCTTTCTGTTTCCTGGCTCATAATGTGAACACAACTCTGATGTACCCTTCTGCCATGAGGTGCCACCCTTCCCAGCGCCCCAAATCAAGGGAGCCACTCAATTTTTGTCTTGAACCTCCAGAACCACAAGCCAAAATAAAGCTACCTGTACTTTATAAGTTGACTATTTTATTGTAGTGATGCAAAACTGACTAACACAGTCATCTATAGAAGGGGAACAATTTTAGTATCCATCACTCACTCCAATGACTGAGGTTTAAATGAGATAATATACTCAGCAAATGATAGCTGCGACTGCTCTTGGTAATAATTTGCTTTCAATAGCATTACTTAGGACCAGGGTAGAGTTCTTTTGAAACTTAGTTCATGGCTGTTTCTTTTGGCCTCTTCCAAAAAGACACACAAAAAATTCCTTTTTTCCAAATTGAAATCACAAAGGAACATAGTACAGCCAGTGTATTGATGGACACATGGAGAGAAATGCAATTCACTTGAGTCTAGTTTCAAAGGGTGGGTTGCCCTGCATCCCTTAGGGTCTAAAGGAGGACTGGCATCCCTGCCCAGTGAGAAGAGCAGGGTATGGTCACCACAAGACCTGCTCTATCCTCCAAGCCTTGCTGGGCCGAATGTTTTCTGTGGTTCACCTAGCACTTCCTGCTCACTTTAAATGACAGAGTAGCTCCTTTCCAGGGCAATCGTCTTCCTAAACCCATAAACAGGGGCACTGGTCCTCACATTCTCTGGGGTGCTTTAGTTCTGGAGCAAGAATTTCTGAACAGGATCCACAAAACAATAACAAAGGATAATTTCCCATGGCATTTTCCCCTAAACATTCACAAGCCCAAAGCCTCTTGACATTCTGCTGCAGAGAAATCTCTGACTCTATTCCACCCAGATATTCTTCCTTTTCATTTTGCCATGAAATTTCTTTTTCAGACCAGGGATATAGTTCAGCAGCGCAGCACCTGCCTGGCAAGTGCAAAATCATAAGTTCGATTCCCGGTACCAAAAAAAAAAAAAAAGTTAAAAAATAAAAAGAAATTTACTTTTCCATGAGACTAATTAACACCCCACACCCACTTTGGGAAAAGCTGCTATATGCCATGTCTGGAACACAGTTTAATGGGGGGTCTGGTTCCTAGGGTCTCATGCCAGTGCAAGGACCACCCTTCCAGGCCTCTATAACCCACACATAGGTTCACACGCACTCAGAGCTGCACCCTTGCCATGATTTGTTTCAGCTGAAATGTAAGAAGGACCTTTCAGGTCAGTATTCATACCCGGAGTGGAATGCCCACTTCATCCATGGACACATCGCTTAGGTCCTGTGTGCTTTTAACCACCCGCCTACTGTCATCTTTTGCTCTTTTTTCAGCAGCCCTGGTGGGTGATGTGGGTTTCTCTTGGGTTGGTGATGAGTCCTCACCCACTCTTCTTTCTGAGACAGGATCTGGAAATGAAAAGCACTTGTTATCTGAAGCACTTCTAACAGCTCCAAAGCAAAACACTCCCAAATAATCCAGCTAGGGCGAAGTGTGTTTGCTAACTCCCAACCGGAACTAGTGTCGCTTAAGGCAGAGATCAGCAAAGTACAGCCCATGGGCTGGCCACCTGTTTTTGTAACTAAAGTGTTACTGGAATACAGCCATGCCGGTTCACTTATACGTTATTCATGGTTGCCTTTGTGCTACCAGGGCTAAGCTGAGTAGCTGTGATTATACTGCCTGCAAAACCTAAAATATTATCTATTATCTGGTCCTTTAAAAATATTTGCCAACAATGTGTTTTGCAGAGGTATACACATTGTGCTCTGCACATTCAAATAGTTCTGACAATTATAGAAATTAAAGGAGCAGGTAGGCCCACAAGGAGGTGGCTAAAAATTACTGGAAAGTTTGCGTTTTCTCTTTAGGAAGTCACTTACCTTTTCTCTGCCTCAGTTTTTTCATCCAAAAATGGGAATAACATTTCTACTAGCAAGCTCACAGCAATGTCGTAATAGGGCTTATTAAGATAATTTAAGCCGAGGTACTCAGAAAGCTATACAGTCCCAGCTGCTCGTCCTAGTTTAATTTGGTTCAACGTTACAAATTATAGAGAGCTAATGAACATTCAGGGTACTCTTCAGATCATACAATTACTTATCATACTCTGTTAAGTCCACATCATGTTTTTCATTTATTGGAGAGCCATACACTAAGCACCTGCTGACTGCTCTCAACTGTTCTCTCCTGCAGACACAAGGGTGAACATCTCAGAATCCTTAGACTTCATGGACTTTATATTCCAGTGGGCAGAAAGAGCAAGGGAGCCAACAATGAGAACGTGAGAAGATAAGGTCTGAAGGGGATTCAGCATAACTCTGCTAAGAAATTTAGGTTCAGGGCCAACTTGTCTGAGAAACCAACCAGATGAATAGGAAGTGGAAGGTGCTCTGACAGAGGGAATCACATAAGCAAATGCTCACGTGCCTCTGAACTACTCCAAGCTTACTATGTGCCAGGCATTGCATTAACTCTCCATACAGATTACCTCATTTCATCTTCCCAATAACTTTATGAGGAAGAAACTATCACCTGTCCATTTTTTTTAATAGTTAAGCAGACCAGCACTCAGAGAGAGTTTTTCCCTGCTTAAAGTCAGGCAGAGTACATGGGCAAGCCTGGATGTGGCCTCGTGTGCACCTGAGAACTCTCTGAACCAGATACTGACTCACCTCCCTCAAAGACTGCAACGAGGTTTCCAGTGTTGGATCTTGGGCTAATACACACTGATTTAAAAAGGGAACTGAGTTGGGGAAGTGAGGGGGAGATGGATGGTTCCATTTGGACCACAGTAACTCTGAGAAGACAATGAAACAAGTAGAAACATCCTAGAGACCCTGGAGAAATATGGAGGGAGCCCAGTTGAGACGCCCTGGCCTGAGTGCAATTTTGGAATCATCAGCGCAAAAGGGATAGCAACTGTAAAGGCCATGTCAGAATCCAGCGGGTAGAAGGAGGTGAGAACAGAGGGAAGGCTGAAGTCATGCACTGAGAGATATCACAGGTACAGGCTAAAAAGCAAAAGAATCAGCAAACAGACGTGGAAGCCATGCAAGGGATAGGAGAGCAACCAGGAAATACAAGGTGCCACAAAAGCAGACAAGACAGAATTCTGAGACGTGGGTGGTTGAACATGTTAAAAAAAGAAAAAAAAACACCTACCCAAAAATTGAAGCAGAAGAGGAGGCATTAGATTAGGCAAGAGGAAAGTCACAGGAACACTGAGAGCAAACAGTTTCTAAAGGGCAGGCGCCAGATATCAGGAAAAGGGACAGATGTATAAACAGAAAGTAGGGAGGGAATTCAGCAGAGGAAAGAGTATTTCAGGTAACTGCAGAGGTCAAAAGGTTTAAGCCTGAGGAACCTAAAGTCCTATCAGTATAGCCCAAGAGAGAACAAAGGACATCGAGATGTGCTGGCGATTAGTTAAGTGCTCTTTGATTGGGGAGAGGAGCAGAGCGCAGGCATGCCTTGGTTCACAACTTAACGAATTGGACAGGAACAGAATCAAATTCAATAGTTAGGTTCAATGTTGACTTTACAGGGAAATTTGATCCAGTTCTCCTCTAATTCAATTTGCGGCCAGAATCATGGAAAGAATGAAGTTTGTCAACTGAGGCTGACACTGGACTTTGGTCAACTGAGGTGCCACTGGACTTTGACAAATGAAAAAAAAAGAACCTGAGGGTCCATGCAAACTTGTGGCAGAGGGAGAGGCATCTGTGTGTGGAGGGAGGCTGGGGAAGTTGGGAGCAGTGAAGTCAGTATGCTCAGGTTTTACTGTTTTCAGCAGGGTGGCCCTTGCCCTAATTTCAAACAAACTTCTGAAACTTATGCTCCATCTGTGAGGGCAGAATGATTTCTAAATATTCTATGTGCAACTCAGCGCTTCAAAAAACCTGATTCCTGGCACCATCACCATATACTTTAAAGGATTTAGACCAGGCTGGCTTTATCGGGATAAGATCTCATGCTCCTAGGAAATGACAACATGAGGTCATGTATCTGGCAGGAAGTACAGGGGCATTCTGAGTCTACCCCTAATTTGGCACTCTCAGCACTGCCTGCCACTTTGAAAGGCTTCCCTAAGTGAAACCAAGAAGGAGCGGGTGAGCTGGTTCCCACCTCCAGCGGGTATGTGAAGGTACTCATTACTCTCACGCTGTAAGATTATGAGACCACAGACATGAATTGTTAAGGGTTTCTAGACCTACAATAATTCTTTAAAAAAAAATATTGTTAGGGCAGATGGTTGCAACAATAATCACTTAACTGTAAGACTCAGGATAATGGCTCATGGATTTGCCGGAGTCCTTTTGATCTAAGAAAATTAGCCTGGAATGATTTTACTTTCAAAGCTTATTATCATGTAATTCCTGATTGAGTGGATTTTGACGTATGGAGGAATGAACTACAGATCTTGAATAAAAAGTGTTACCTTATATAGTGAAAACGCAGAGTGATAATTGTCACATGCAGTGACAGGGCCACCTGTTAACATCCATGTTACAGTGAGAGCTTGCTCTTATTTCATATTAGGCAGACAAGAATCCTGCATATAATGGGGCATTTCTTTCTATTACACTGTGTTTTTTTAAAAAGACAGTCTTGGACCACTAAATAAATGATGATGCTGGCAACATCAGACAGGGCCTCTATTTATAGGAGGAGAGTTAAAATTTTCCTTATCCCCAAAGCTCTGTAACTGGAGATGACAGCAACGCTCACACTTCCCTAGAGAAGGAAGTCGGCCTCTCCACACCTGTGGTAGCCCCCACCCCAACTCTTGTTTCCCTAACTTCTACGTCCTCCCTGTCCTCGAAGGAGATTATGAGCCACACAGGTCAAAACCAGGCAGAGTCCATTCCCAGATGACTCTCTTTGAGAATTCAGACTCAAAGAAGGCTCTGCTAAAGGGAGGGAGGGAGGTGCCTTTGAGTCCCCCGAGCGAGCCTCATTTGCTCCAAGGCACAGAGTTTGGGAAGCGCCAGCACAGCCAGCTCTCTCTCTCTTTTGGGAGCTCCTGAACAGAATGGTACTGCCATTTAAACAATTTAGTGAGCACCTGCTCTAGGTCTAACTCTACCAAAAGTCATTAGTGGATCTGTCCCAAAACCCAAGGAAGGTGGTAGCATCACCTTTGTTTGAGAGCTGAGCCTGCCAGCACGGTAGAGAAGCCCTCAGATGAATGTGGCCCTTTCCAGTGTACAAAGGATCCTCCTACTTCTGTCTCACACAGCAGCTCCTCCAGGCAGGGGCAAGTATTAGCATCCTCATTTCCTACATGAGGAAACTGAAGCCAAAGAGGTGAAGTCACTTGCCCAGTGCCAAAGCACTCTGAGAAGGGAAAGCCAGGAGCAGCTCTGGCTCTCCTAATGTGTGGCTGGTTGCTTTTTTCACCCATTCCGCTATTTCTTTCAAAATCCTACAGAAAGAAAGGAGCCCACGGGAGCCACTTTCTACTTTTTCTTTCCCAGAGCCACTGTCCTCCACAACCTGGGCTAGGGCCAGGGAATTAAGTGGACTGCAGTGTGGCAGTTTGAGGAGGGCGGTGAAGGGCACCTTGAACTCAGCCGCAGCCTGTCCTGGTCCTGTGGCCACGTCCTGATAAACCCAAGAGAGTATGAGAACCCTATGTCCTCCCTACCCAGGATCTGAAGAAATCACAGGAACAGCAGAGGGATAAAAGTCATGCAAAAATCATGTAGCAGCTGCTGAGAAAATGGTGGCTTCAGTTATTTGTCAGATCAGGGGTTCTTAACTCTGGAGTCCATTAGTATCTGCAAACCCATGGACCTGTGTATATATGTTTACATAGATATGGTTTTTATGAAGAATGAATCTACTGCCTTCAACAGATTATCCCAAGAAGGACATGACCAAAGAAAGATGACAAAATGTCATACTACACCATTAGCTACTATGAACAGCACAGTTCCCTAAGGCAGCCCCAGAACCTAGCTCTGTGCCTAAAATAAAGAAGGCATTCAATAAAATGACTAGTGAATCAACAGAGGCACCTGTGGGTAACAATAATTCACATCCAGTAAGCATTCAGCAAGGGCCACACTCAAGCATTCAGTTGTTTATAAGCCGAATCTCCTTTGATCTTCAATCAGAATGGCTACAGGAAATGGCTAAATGTTCCCCTATTCCTAAGATGTCTAAAACTTCAGCCAGCACCTCTGGCCCCTCCTCACCCTGACACCATAGCACAAACCTGCATACTTCCTTAGGGAGTGAGCCCTGATATCTGATGCTCTCTGCAATCATACTTTACCATCATGGGCCCTGATGACCTACTTACCCAGAGTCCCATCACCAGAGAGGATGAGACTAACACCACCCAGAGCTGGTTATAGATGCAAACAATCTTCTGTACTCATTAAACTTGAATCTCTGGAGACAAGACCCGGGAGTCTGAGCTTTGACAAGATCTCCAGGAGATCCTGATGTCAGCTCAAATTCAAGAAGCAATTTCAGGCACTGCTGATCTGAAGACTCTCACTTGGACCCACCTTCCCAGGGTTATCTACTGGCATCTGGGCTTGCCACACAAGACAGACTTGCCCACATTTCCCAATCCCAGACTTATCACCTCCTAGGACAGTCACCAAAGCAGCAAAAAGGTAAGCTCTTCAGAGGCCTGCCCTGAACACTACATCTAAAGCTTTGTGCTCTTCATCCTTCATCCCTTTGTGCTCTTCAGCCAGTACATCCTGTTTTTACCATCGCAGCACTCATCACAGTTCCATAGGACATGAATACTATTTTGATTCACTAGCCCCAGAGGTGAGCTCCAGGGGATAGAAACAATGCCTATTTTCATCATCTTTTTGCTCCAGTAACAAACATAGATCCCAATACATATAGGAGCTCAGAAATTTGTGCTGATTGCACATGGGCTGGTGACTAAAAGCCAGCTTAACAGAAACAAGGGTTAATATGTAAATAAATACATTTCTCACTTACCTGAAAGGCTACTGAGCCGTTTTTGCTGTTCTATGATAAAAGAAAAGAAGACACAGTATAAGTGAGATTTATATAGTACATGGCAAGACAAAGAAGTCACGGCATAGCTACTGTAGTTAGGGTACTAGTTTCAGCAATCTCACTGTCCTTTGTGCTTAGATGCTAAAATGCACAGCCTAGCTAGAGTTGGGATCCCAAACATCCTGAAAACCCACTCCAAGGTGCTGGCAGGACTTGTCCTGCCTTTGTTTTCTAGAACTTTATATCTCATCGGAAAATGTTCTCATCACTGAATGAGATCAACCCCCAAGTCCTCTGGTTCCACACGACAGGACTTCACATGAACCCAGGCTTGATATCTTTTGAGAGAAATGTGATGAAAACTATAAGCATGGCAGCTACCATCTCCTGAGATCTTGCTAAATTCCAGATTCTGTTTTAAGAGATCTTATATACAACATCTGAAATTGCGGCAACAACCCTAGCAGTTAGCTATGGTTATTTTTTCATTGTACAGCCTTAGTCCTTGTACCACTCTGGCTGGGTCCAGAGTACCTGAGAAATCCTAAAACAATCAACATTTACCAAGAGACCTCTAATAAGGGGCCCAAATTACCCAACAGTGGACTGAAAACTGTCTCAGTCTAGAACCTAGATCCCCACCTCCTACTCCAGTGTTCTTTCCAACCTAGTCACCAAGCCCCTATTGCCCACAGCACTGAAGGTCTCTTCGTTTCTCATTTTGCTGGGTAATCCCATGGAGGGGAAGCCGACATTGCCGCTGGACAGTCCTGTGAGTACTTGCTATTTGATAAACACAAAAATGACCTTTACCTTCCACAGCCGCTAAATATAAAGCAGCCACGTAGATAAAAATAGCAATTTGCCAGCCCTTGAGCTCTGCCACTATCCCTCTTGGCCATATTACCACCCTCCAGCGAGAATCAGTGTGAACAAGGAGTAAACAGAGCAGCAAGGGAGCTCAAGGCTGGTGGAAGTGGCATGTCCACTTCTGATGTGTGGATGGGGTTTGCACACGTTGGACAAGAAGCCGCGTGGAGCACCAGGCTAGGCTTTGCCAACAAATTACCAACACAATGGGCCAACCACATAATCTCTTGGCCTCAGCTGCTTTGTCTATCACATCAAGGTATTCAGTAGCATCTCCAGGGATATGTTTGCCAAGCCTATGGAAATGGAGTGGTGGCAGGGCCCTCCCCAGCCAGAAGAAGTGAAGGCGTGCAATTTGAAAGACTATGGTATGAAATGGCCTGTCTCTTATTATAGGACGTCACACACACAGTAGCAGCTGTTTTTTAGTGGTGTTACATAGCAAAGGGAGAAGTTATCCACAATGGAGTGATCCCTAGACTATGTCATATGCCCACAGATTTGTCTGGAAATCTCCAGACTCTTGCTGTCCAGTGTGAAGAGGAGCACTGGCATGCCGGCAAGCTTTCTGAAAATGCAGACTTTCATCCTCTTTGCTCCCTCAGAGCTCCTGAATCTGAAACTGTAAGTTAACAAGACTTCTGGATCTGAAGCACAATAAATATTGAGAAGCCCCGAGCAAAGGGACACATGCACTCTGTCAGTCCTGAGAGTTTCTTGATTCAAATCCTCCTTCCCAGACTGATGGTATGTAACTTGCCTTCCAGTACATATGGTAAGAAAACTCAGGAAGGAGGGAAAGGGACTGAGCTGCTCACAACTATCAGTGCTAGGGTCAGAGGCTCAGTGCCCCTCTGCTTGTTCCCAGAAGGGCGACGGTGGCTTGGAGACAAGGGATTATTGTCATATTATGCCCTGGGTCAGTCTAAGTAGGAGAGAAGGGGAACTTTTTTAAAATGACTAAAGCAGAATTCCAAAACTAGAGTAAAGTTTTCATTCCCTTGGGAGACTGTGCAATAGTCACACTGTCCTTGTGGGTAGCCTAGGAGTTTCTGGCAGAGATGCCAGGTTAGGTAATTTCCAAAGCAGTGCCAAAAACACTTGACCTTAACCCCATTTACGATTAGTAATACAGGGCTGGGCTGGCCAGGTTCTCCCATTCTTTTCAACTCTTCCTGCCCTCCCTGCTAGTGAACATATGGTTTTACTCTTTATGGGAGGTACCCTTTAATTCTAAAAAAAGAAAACTAATATCATTATTTATGTCCTTTTCTAAAGGATGTGTGTCTTAAGCTGTGTAATTATGAGTTTTAAACCTCAGAGCAGGACTTGGCCAAAAGAGAAAGCAAGAGCCAAAGGTATCTGGGTAAATTAGAGGAACTCATTTGTTCAAGAAGCAAAGAGGAACAACAGTCATAACTGTGCCCAGCGAGTCACCAGAGAGACTTGGCAAAAGCAGCTGACACCAGCATTTTCAAAGAACTAAGTTGCTTTGGGAATAAATCCCACTTTTAAAGCAACTGTCTTTCCTTCTGGGAATTAACTTGCTTGACTACATTTTTCTTAAATGAGTCATAAAGAAGTTCATAGAGAACCAAAATTTCACTTTGTCCTGCATTACAGACACTTTCTGGGCAAGGAGAGTTATTGCCAGTAAAGGGGTGGCACAGAGGAGAGGAGAAAGGGCTTGTACAAAGTTCAGTGTGGAGGCTGGGACCCTTTCTTTCTTTTGAAGTACACAGACTCCTGAGGGAAAATGAATATGAAAGCCACACATGATGCAAAAAATAAAACCACTAAAATGACTATTTAAGATTTGAGTGGGAATATTTTAAGTGAGAGAAAATGTTTTATGCATCTACTTTTCAAGTCAGAAGCAGGAAACAGAAAACTACTTAGTATGAACAACAATTAAAAATAGACTCCAGTCTCATTCTCATCCAAGTTGATGCAGAAGGGAGGGGCAAGAAAGGGGAGGAAATGAAGCAGCAGGCAAAAAGGGAGTCAAAGGAAGATTCGGAACCAAGCTGTGAGCCTGAACAGAATAAGAAAACCTCCATTTTTCCTTGAAATTCATACTAAACAGCCCTCTTCCACACTGGAACACAGCCTGAAAACTTTCCATTTTGCGCTGCAAAGGACTTTTGTAAAAGGCCAGTATATTCCTCTATGGAATCCCAAAAAAGAAAACTTGGGATTTAGAATCACCATCTGGGATTTTAAAGCAGAAAGGTCGATGTCTACAATTAATAACTCAAACCTCACAGCCCCTTTGGGAATGCAACAAAACCAACCAAAACAGTCAGAGAAACTACAAAAACTAAACATAAAAACTCTAAGCAGAGCTGTCTGACTGCATGGTGCAGGACCAAATACCCACACAAATATCAGTCCCAGAGGGCAAAGCTGAGCAACAGCCTAGAGCAGAACTGACTAGAATGGCCAGAGTTACTAAAAAGGAATTTGGTAGCCTGTTTTAGAGGTACAAGAGCATGTTTCATATTTTAGAAAGTTTTCTAACCAATATGGTTTATTTTTTTAAATCTGGTAGTCAAAATTATGCTTCCTAGAAATGTATCATGTTGAAGAACTAAATCACTTATGGCACTACTTGAAAAACCTAGATTTTCAGCCGGGTTGTAGTGGCACATGTCCATAATCCCAGTGCTCGGGAGGCTAAGACAGGAGGATCACCAGGAATTTGAGGCCAGCCTCGGACAAATAGTGAGTTCAAGGCCAGCCTGAACTGCATAGCAAGAGCTTGTTTAAAAACAAAACAAAACAAAAACACCAAAAGAACCCTAGATTTTCTTAGCAAAGCTTCACCAGAAATCACATGATAAGTAATTAAGAGATACAGGCTTTTTCTCATTTTGGTGTTAGGGTTTAAAGATGATCATGAACACTCAAGGTGAGGCATATGTAATTACATTATCCCAGCTAACTTATACAGATACTTGATATCATCTTAAATTAGTAGCCTCTGTCTGCCTGCTGGGATAAACCTTAGGAACCATGGAAATAAATAAACTGGGGCAGACAGCCCAGGACTGGATTTGTGAAAATTCCTGTTGAAGGACAGAAGTCTTGCCCAAGATACCAAGGGATAGTGAGGTTCACTCCAGTGAGCTGGGAGAGGGCACATTTCGAGGTTCCCTTACCTCGATTGTGCTGCAAGAGCACAATGGTGGGATTGACAATTGTGGTGGAGGGGTAAGCAGATGATGGCTTGCACACTGGTGGGAAGGCTTGGGAATCAGTTGCAATAAGGGAAGAAGAAACTTCATTTAGTAGAGAACTGGAACCCTGAAAAGAAAACAAACAATGTAACTAACTGTAAGTGCACAAAATCTAGAGTTAATGCTTTTTAAAGAGAAAAAAATCTAAGACTTTATAAAGATTTTAATTATAAACAGAAATGTAGTCCAGAAGACATTGCATTAATTCCAGTTAGAAGTTTAAGCTGGGATGCTTATTCTCTTGCTTGTATTAGTAAGAGGAAAGAAAGGAAAATTAAATGTTGCTGACAGTCTCAGCAGCACCATTCATTATTTTTACCTGGTAGTAGTTTTGGGCCAATCCAGTTACTGAAAAAGCAAATTCAAGTCAAAGTAGAATAACATGCAAAACCCATGCAATTCCAAATGTGATCCAGGAATGAGAGCCAGTTTAATTGGGAAAAACAGGGAAGTTTAGTATACTGTGTTGAGAAATGTGAGACGATATGAAGACAAGCTATATAAGATGATATAAGAGTAAGGAAGAGTAATGATTCCCTCAGAAAGCTGCTCTTGGTATCAAAATCACTGAGCAATTCTACTAATGCTTGCTTCTGACACCTGAATATTATCCTATCATGCTGGAAAATGTTTTCACTCTAATATTAGAGTGATAACGATCCCTGAAGTAAAGATGTGTGAGAGTCCTGACTTTAAAAATCTGATCTATTGAACAGAGATAGCAATAAAATTATTAATACTAACAGGATTATCTCCAAGTTGGGGCAATGGCAGTCTTTTGAAACAAGTGAAAATAGGACCCTGAAATGTAGTAAGAGGATAGAGAACTTTCCTCCATCGTATCTATACATTCTGCAAACTTTCTATTTTAGAATTTACAAACCTCAAAGCCAAATGGCACTCTTAAATGGATTTAAGAAAGATTTTGATAACTACTCTTGAAGCAATTATTATGCTCAATCAGAGATCAATTGCTGTGTACACACCTGCTGGACAAGGGCCATGCCCTCCCCTTCCTCCTGCCACCACCCAGCACAATGTCCTGCACACAGCAGATGTTCAGTAAATACCATGAGCCATCTACCAGCAAAGCACACCTGACCTAACAACTGCGGCAAGAGTACACAGCTCATTAGAGGAGAGGATATGGTGACCAGCACCCTTGACAGCTCCTGCCACACAGTGGGGGCTTCGAGAGCACATTGCCTCGGTCAGTCTCCCTCTTCTGAAAGTTCCCGTAACTACTGATAGCAATGAGCAGCAGCGGTGGGAGAGTGAAATCCCTTTCCAAGACTTTGAGAAGCACAGTGTGACCTTGTATATAAGTGCCCTCTCAACGCCTCCATTTAGAAGGTAAGAAATATTTACACTTTTCCTAATTTATCTCCACAGTGATTTAATAAATGCTCATGACATATCTAAAACACTGTCAGAATACTCCCATGAAACAAAATAGAAGGCACACAGCTCTTTAAAGCACGCACGCCCAATGTGATGTATAGGGAGATCACATAAGCATTAAACATTTAACAAATTTTACTCTGTATCCTATTTCTGAACATTACACGAACAGCTACTGACCAAAAAAAATTTTCTTAGAAAACCTGACTGAATCAACATGATTTTTATTCCTCTCTTTTATTCCCAAAGAGTGGCAGATGGATGAGGTATTCGAATCATGGCTTGGACACCACCCATTGGGCCCTCCTCTCCTTGAAAATTCTCATTCAGAGGGGAATCCAAGCAGTTTCTCTTTTCCCCTTTTACTGTTACCTAGGGCCAGACTAGAATTTATCAGGCCAACTTCTGAGAAGTCTACACCAGGTTGACTAGTTAAGGTTGAGAAACTGAGGACATTGTCCCCACTCACATGTCCTGGCACACTTGAAACAAACACACTATGAAAACCTAGAGCTACGCAAATGATAAATTACAGGGTCATACAAAACTACTTACTATGGTGTATAATTCTTTTTTGTTTTGTTTTGTTTTCTTTGTTTGTTTGTTTGTTTTCCAGTACGGGGAATCGAACTCATGACACTGTGCTCACCAGGCAGGTGCTGTGCCGCTGAGCTATATCCCCAGCCCCAAAGATATAAATCAGTGCTTCTCACACAATCCTCTTTGGCCAAGTGCTGTTATCACTGCTGTAATTCTGTTTTGTTTTGTTTTGTTTTGTTTTGTTTTATTTTGTTTTGTTTTGTTCTTTTCCTACTCTGGTGTATGAATGCACTTAAAATACAGCTCACATTACCTGCTACTCTTGAGAAACATTTTGTGCCTAAGGTAAGATGCCCGCATCCCTCAAAACCAGAGTAGCTTCCAAATTCACCTAGAAGTTCAGCTTGGATGGTGGGAGAGCACAGAAGGGAACAAGCTAGCACATTTCTCCAACAGGGACTGAGATGTAAAGATCAAAGTCAGAAGGACGTCCAAGACCTCAGATCAGGTCTGGCCTGGCCCTGGCCTCACATCTAGAGATTTGAGAAGAGGCCCTGGCCAGGAAGTACAGTCAGTCTCAGCTTTGGTCTGCCTGACGCCTGATTATAATTTCTTTAATAAGCCAAGTAAGAAGTTTCTTTACTGCTTTCTGCATGAATGGTCTCAGCTTAATAAGCCGTTTGGGCCAGTTCTGTAGGCATACCTCTTCACACAGTGGGAATGTCATTTAGTTTCATAAGCCAAATCCATAACTCACAAGCTCACTGTATCTCAAAATGGGGTTTGTGGGGCCCCAACATGGGACCCACAGAGATGCTTAAGACCAGGTGAGAATCCTAGGCCCCTCCCCAAATCCACTCCATCAGAAACTCTAGGAATATAAACTAGACCTCCCTGCCTGGCCCTTAGGTGTACACTCACCTTCAGAACTGATACACTAAGCCCCCAAATCCACTTGAAAGCAGAGGCCCTGACTAGTTCACAGGTGCATCTGTGGTACCTGGCAGAAGGCTCAGAATGTGATAGAAATTCAGTGACTAATTATTAACTAGTCAGTTGCTTTACAGTGACTCTGGCTCCTCATTTGCTAGGGCAAGCCCTCAGCCGCACAGCTAATGTTTACCGGTCACATCCTCTGTGCCGATACTCAGCCCGACTAATCCCCACAACCGCATAAATGGATCCACACACAGTATCTCCATATTATAGCTCACACTGACGTTCCTCAGAGTCCTTCAATTCCCAGGGTTCAAAAGAAAAAGGAAACTCAAATGCTTTGGCTGAGTCTTTTCTCTAAAGCAGCTGGGCTTTCCCACCTGTGGAGGGAGTTTAACTTGCTGAGACCACTGACGTGGTGCACCCTGTGCCTCAAAGGCCCCTCAGCCTCCTCCTTAGAGGCTCTCACATCTGTCTGTCTTTCGAAAACTCCTAACATCTGCACAAGGCTTTCAAGTCCACTTGCCCAATTAAACCTCACTGCCTAATTTTGATTTTACCCTGGTCTCTATCATTTCTGTTATAAAAGGGAGTTTATTCACAAAATCAACAGAATATTAATCATCTCCTCCCCGAGACACCCTTCTGTTCCCTGGTACACTGTCCTGCAGCACCACACCTGTGTTGTCTTTCCCCGCATAATTTTGCAGCTTTTCTCAGCTCTTAACACTTCATCTGTCTGGCCTACAAAGAGCAAGACTAGGCAAAGTGAAGGCCACAGATGTTTTCTCAGAGGGAAGACAAAGCTCTTTCAGGAAGATGCGCATTCTCAACAGGACAAAAAGAGGCCCCCAGAGACTTGTGAATAGCCACAGGCCACCCAGGGACACACAAGGGAAGCATGCACTCTAGGGACAGCAGACACAAGTCCCATCATCACACAAGCACAGCAACGGCCAACACTTTCCTCAGAACTTAGTACTTCAGTGAGAAAGAGGGATTTACTGCCAGGAGCAGACATTCAGGAAAGCTGTGGGGAGGGAGGTCCAGCAAGCTTACGGTACTTGAAACAGCTCCCGTGAGGTCAGGCTTGGAGACTCTGTGGAGGTCCTCCGGAATGGGAGGGACCAGCGGAGGTGGTGGTGAGAAGGATGGTGGTGTCTGGCTAACAGGGGGAAGGGAGCCACAAGCACTGGCTGGTTGGCTGTGGTGGGGCCGCCTCTGCAGATGAGGGGGAATGAAATCATCTAGAGTCGGGAAGGTCAGAGGTGAGGCAGCAGGGGTGGTCACCAGGGTAGTGTGGATGCAGCCAAGTGGCTCCAGAGATGCTGGAGGTCTGGCAGTGCCTTCTTGCCCTCTGTCAGTATTAACCAGGTAGAGAGGGACAACTATTACCTCAGGCTGAGCTGGGCTGGAGGAAGTGGCATCCTGTGGGAAATAAGGGGGTCGTTACGTAAAGGGGTACAGCAGGGACGAATGAATTCCATATTTAAACAGTTGCGAGTGGACATGCAGTGATGTACTCTGAGAAATATTTAATCGGTGCCCTTTCCTCAGAGTACATGAGACAGTTGGTGCTGGCCAGCTGGCCTCCTGATACTCCATGACACAGAGGGAGCTCCATCCAAGTTTACTTTCCATCCATCTATTTTTGAATTCTTTTAACACTTCATGAGAGAGAAAGAGAAAGAACAAGAGAACAGGCAGGCAGGCTGTGTTTAACCCCACAAAACCGCTGTAGGATGTGAAAGCCTGGCAGTAAATACTATTTCTTTGGCACCTTGACATAAAATATAAACACTCCATTATCTTACCACATTATTAGTCTATGGATTCCATGTTCCGGCATACTTTTGCACTTACAGAAAAGAGAGAGAAGAAGACAGACAGAGATTTGTGTTTAGAAAGAAGAATTCAGATTCAAGCTGCAACAATATTAATGAGGAAAGGCAAGGTAAGGAAGTCCAGAGAACATATTAGCCGCTCACATCAGTTTCGAAAGAAACATTGTAGAAGACACACAAACATTCCTAATTTCTTGCCTTGGCTGGACAACTTGGCTGCAAAAGGTAAATTTCTTTGCTCTTCCGTGTTTCAGGATCAGAAGTAACCTGGGGGCCTAGCACAGGTGGTCTCACTGCATCTGGAAACAAAGCCCACGTCCCCAGAGAGGGACGCTCGCCACAGTTACCGGCATCTTTGTGGATGTCAAAGAATAGCTTGGAAAGGTCAGGAGGAGGAACAGGAGGTGGTTTTCCTGTGCTGGCTGTGCGGGGGACAAGGCTGGGAGCTGGTGCCTGGGTGCCTGCAGCCTCCAAGGGAGTGTCTTTGGCCGGGTCACGTGCAACATGAGAGTTTTCCGAGGCGGCCCAGCAAATGTTATTGGATAAACAAGGTACATATAAGCTGCTGATCTTTTTATTCCCAGTGGCCTCATGACGTGGGTTAGAGCTCACATTCTTATTAGGAACTAATCTTGTGGCTGCATAGTGGCGCTGGGGTTTGGATAAAGCACTGCAGAACGTGGAACCCGGAAGCAAGGGACCAGAATACACCACATCTTTGTGAGTTGGTCTAACTGCCAGGGGGACAGAGATGGGCTGCGGCTGTGAGGGGTTCTGCTGGCTGGGGATGCTGAGTGGGATGTAAGGCTTTGGTGAGCTCATGTATAGGGAGTTTTTATGGGTACTGCCGACGGTGGGAGTCTGCCATGCAAAGCGCCCCTCTGGAGGGAGAGGAGGGCGTGGAGAGAAATCCTTCAGTAGAATTTTTAAGACATGATACCAAAACAAGGAGAAAAGAAACAAAGAGAAGGGGAGATGGAGAGAAGGGTGGCCATTAGACACAACAGTATAACATGATCTGAAGACAATAAAAACTCTTGACACATTAAAGTAATTCCTCCAGCTGGTCTCCCTTTGGTGCCTACAGTTTTCCTCAGGGCAAGCCAAGGACTGGCTCATACTCACCTGGAAAGGCTGGTCTGATTCACACCTCAGGGAGGTTGAGCCAGCCTGAAACCAGCTATATCACCTTCATTCCCAGTCCTTGGTTAGCTGCGTTTTCGTGGACCTCTTTACTCCAGGACGCCTAGGCAACCAAGTGCCAGGGAAGTCCGCCCCAGAGCTTCCATTCCCTTGAAATAGCCCTTCCTCAAGACTTTTCTCTTGAAGGCTTTGCTTTAAAATTTGAAGTTCATTAAACTCTTTTGAGTGCCTTTCATTCTTTTCTTTCAGGAAAAGCAGAGTTGAAAGAACTATACTTTTTTTGTATTTACAAGAAACAGATATCTCTCTGGAGCCACTAAGGTTTAGCCCTCAGTTCCATAGTATAATAAGTTAAAGTTCACTAAGAAAAGAACACTAAGGACTTTGATGCACATGTGCTCTTTTCTCAAGGGAAAGAGTGTGATGGAAATAATTATTAAAATGAAGGTGCTAGGGATGTAGCTTGATGGTAGAGTACTTGCCTAGCATGCACAAAGATAGCAGGTTTCATCCCTAGAACCACTCAAAATAAAAGGAGGAAACCATGAAACTGTAAGCACTTAGTTCATAACCTCCCATTTCTGATGCACACAGAAAAAGGGACCAGGTACTGTGCTCATATTTTGGCTTATGGGATTATACTCTACCTGGTACATCTAATTTCAACTAGAGTCAAACCACCACTAGAATCTATTCTAGAGGAGGATGATCAACCTCAGAATTACAGCTCAACCCAAAGCTATGAGTACAGGTTCAGAGTTACAAAGTTATAATTCACAGCTCGTGCCTCTTCCCTCAACACCACTCTTCCATGGGTCTCTGTGGGGCCAAGAGCCAACAAGCAGTGTGACTCTCCAGACTGAGCCTCTTCAGCCAATCAGCTCACCTGGGCATGAGACTGTGAGAGGAAGAAAGCTTATGTTCCTAGAAATTCTTCACTGTCTTCTACCTTTACAGATAATCCAGCACTGGAATAAACCCGGAACCCTCCTCCAAACTGCATAAGTAAGGGATATTAGAGCTTGGTCAATGCTATTAAATGGGTTGTGATTAAAAACTAAGAGGGTACAAAGGTGTGGGTACAGAGTCTGGGTCTATCTTGGAGCTGTTTTGTGTTTTACTTTTGTATGTTGTGGAGTACATATGGAATGGGACGGATCTCAGAGAATATAAATAGGTGGGAACTTTTTTATTTATGACTTTGGATTAGAATATCAACCCAGAAACAGTAGATAACCTATCCTTTAGCTTTTCTTCAAACTTACCCTCTAGGTTGTAACTCAGTTCTCAAGTTAAAAATAATCTGGATGGACTATTTGGATATTCTCAACTAAGTCAATGCCTGACCTGTTTTTAGTGTCCAAAATGGTATCAGTAGAATATAGCCATATATATCAGACAAAAATACAAAATAAACAGCCCCTCTCTGGTACAAAGCAAGAACAAAACCTTTCAGAAGAACTCACTTGGTTCATGAACTTGTAATGGGACTTTGGGTATATATACAGTACCCTCCCAAGACAAAGCATTTGGACTAGCATGCACCAAAGGGACTGCCAGGTAAGCTGATAATGGTTGTTGAAAGTTAAGTAAAAGGCCTCTTTGATTTGGATTCAGATTTACTTTTACTTTGAGCTCACATTATTTTACATGTGATTTCTTCTTGTCCAAAGATAGAAATCAGTTTCAATTAGTTTCTAACTCAACTCGGTTGTGGCCAGTTATGGTGCCAGGGTCCTACCACATCAGGCATGAGCCTTCCTGGCTGTGACCCTGAAGAAGGGATTCTTTCCCAAAGTGTTCACAATTCACCCAGAACCAAAGGATTTCCTGTCATGGGGCTTCTTTTAGCCCTAAAGAAGATGGGAGATAGAAGGAACTACTTTTTGTTTTGTTGTGAACAGTGTAGGAACCAGACAGGCAGTTTGTATTCTTGCCCAATTAGCTATTAAGGAAATTCCACTTATTATTTAAAGGGTGGTCAGTGAAAAAAGATGAGGCTTCTTGAAAAATCTGGTTTTCAGTTTATACAGTTTGAGGAACTACGTACACTCCCACTGTGGATGACCATGATGATAATGATGTTACAAGGAGGGAAGACTTGACTCCCTCTTCCTTGCAGGGAGGAGGGCAGTAAGTCCAGGCTTGCAGGACACAGTGTTCCCATCTGGCCCATGGGTCTCCTAAACCTCAGCTCATCCCTATAAGGTATACTCAGGGCACAGGGTTGTGAGAGCTGAAAGCCAGGGAGGTGCCCAGCCTAGCCCAGCCCAATCTACCACGGCTTTGTCAAGCCACAACCTACTCATAAACCTGATAATGGCTATATATTCGAGAAGTTATATTTACATTCAGAAAATAGATCTAAAAATTAATGCATGATCTAAAGGTTCTTAAAATTTGGTTGACCAACTTTACACTGAATATACAGAATAAAACTATTATATTAGCCATTCACCACATTCCCTTTAAGAAGCTCCACTTAAAAAAAAAAAAAATTGAGTGACAGATAAGAAAATACCCTACTTAGGATGCTTGGCCTTATTAAGAAGCTAAGAGTGGTGGCTCACACCTGTAACCCCAGCACTCTGGGAGGCTGTGACAGAAGGAACACACGTTTGAGCTCAGCCTCACCAACTCAGTAACTTAGTGAGATTCTGTCTCCAAATAAAATATTCCAAAAAGTTGGGGTGGGGATGGGGATACAACTCGGTGCAAAGACTGGTTCAATCCCCAGTACCACTAAAATAAATAAAATAAATTCCTTAAGGGCAATATTTATTAGCACAGTGATCTGAACACAACAGAGTATGCAATAAAGCTATTATGAGCTATTATTAATGTGTATCTAAAAGAAATTTGTCTTTACTTCCCATGCTTTTAAAGTGATCTCTTAAAGGCGCAGTAATACCTTGGTTCAGTAATGTTTCTGCTTGCAAACAATTTGGTTTCCAAACAGAAACACTTGGCAAGATTTTGTTTTTGTTTGCAAATGCTGCACTTGATGACAAACATGACCACAGCCATCTTTCCCACACAAATACAAACATGGCCATCTTTTCCAAAATCATACAACAAATTAATCCATGAACCACAGTATCACTGTAGGTACAAAGCCAAAAGGAATGACTGAGTTACCCTATGAGCTAAGTCAGTGATGACAGAAGACAATGTGCTTCTACATTTCCTTTGAATTCATCAGCACTGCTTTCTAATCTCGTCAGAGCTAACTGTGTCCATTCTTGAGATGGCTGAGGAGAAAGCATGTTGGCCACATTTGACCATTCAAAAAGGTTTCAGAAACGGGAAAACCAGGGCAAGTCATTTAACAGACAAGTAACCTCCCAAGTCCCTGTGTCTGGCGAGAACTTCAGGAGGCCAGGCACGTTCACAGCTCCTGGTTCTAACAGGGGCTCTGGATGCACAGGCTGGACTCGGGGAGGTAAGTCACGGCCGGTGGTGGAAAAGCCTTAATGGTGCTGTAGCACACAAGACAGACAAGACCCCAACACTAGCTTGAGAAGACAGAGGTCAGCAGAAAAGAAGGAAGACATCATTTCTGACTTGGTTTCACTGCAGGGGCCAGGGCAATGTTATGTCCTAATAGGAAGGAGCCAAAGAATCACTAGAGAAGAGGGGTGGGAGCTGGAAAGATGTGTGGAAATTCCAAGTTCCTTGTGAGCTCTGGGAACACCTTCAGGGGGAGGCACAGGAAAGAGGACCATGACAAGAATACATACTGCAAGCATGAGTACAGTAAGGCCCTGACTTATGAATGTTCAAGTTGTGCACTTTCACAGGTGTATACTGTATAAGCTTCACTTTGTCAGATTATTAACAAATCTGACTTATGAGCATTCTCCCAGGACAGAACTCAGAAACTTACTATAGCACCACTTTCTTTAAGAGAAAAGAGCTCCATTCCATGGGAGTGGCTGCTCTATGTAAAAATGTTCTTCATAGATCACCTGAATTGTAACACTGTCCATCCTTGTCCTCAAAGTGGCAGTGTATCAATAGGGAAGGAAAGGAAGAAAGACTGGGAAACCAGCTAGGAGAAAAGCCCTAAGGAAAATTTTCCCCACTCCAAGTTGTACAGCTCTGGGGAACTTTCTGTTGCAGGATAGAACTGGGATGTGTAAGTGAGGTTGTGCTGCCCTTTCAACTTCTATCTGTAGGATTGGGCTCTTGGATTTAGAGTCTGGCCACAGCTACCTGATAATAATCTGTGTGGATACAGTTGCTTGAACTCTTAGAGCTCAATCTAGAAAATTAATGAAGTAAACACAAGAAGCAGTCTTCTCTTGAATATTACATTCTGAAGTGTTTTATAAAAATAAACTCAGATTTTTTTCCTATTCAATCTAAATGAATTCTCTCTTTTAGCACATTTCCACATGCATATCAAACCTAGAAAACATCAGGCCTATTTCCAAAATCCTGGTAGAGACCAACCTCATCCCACGCCTCTGCTGCTCTTGACCATGACTCTCCTCGTAACTCTAATCCCCACAGAGATTTTCTTCAGTTGATTGAAAGCTATTTCCATGATCATCTGAGCAAGTAGGAAGTCACCTGTCTAGGCTAAAAGATAAGTGAACAAATACTACCCACTGATTCCCACCCTGCCTGTGGGCTCGTGCCTACCTGGGGCTTGTCAGCTGGAAGGCTGGGATGCACACTTCTGTAGCCTTTGGCAGCAAGTGAAGATGGCTGGGCATTCCCATTGGCATCAGCACTGGAAGAAGGCCTCCACTCGTCTAAGAGATTAGAAAAAAACCCAAAACCTTGTCACTCACAGGGAACGTCCCCTGGCTCCCTCTAATTCAGGGGTCCCTGTTAGAAAGCAGGGATAGTAAGAATACAAGAGAAACCATACCTGCTGAAGGATTCTCTGGCTCCAGATCTATGTGTAGGGCAGAAAGAATGACAACAAGAAGAAAAAGAAAAAACAGAAACAGTTACATTTACGGAAATAAGCATGAGCTACACAGAAGGATGAAAACCCAGTACCCTGTTGTCTGACACAAAGTGCCCTCAGTCACGATGGCCTGATTACCATAGGAACCCACTCTAAACCATGATGTGCTCACTGGCACTGACCTTTGAAAACACAAGGCTCACATTCACAAGTATGAAGAAACAATTGTTCTTTGACATTCTCATTTTACAGACAAAAAGGCAATAGAACTTTCTACTGCCCAGTCCCTACTAACCCTCACTCCCCTTCCCCAAGCTGGCGCTCCCTGATGACAGGCTGGGCTCTACAATGGACCCTGGAGAGGAAATGGCAAGGTCATTTTTCCATGGGTGCTATGCTATACTAGTTGGCAGAACATGACTCAAGCCCGGGGGTATCTGTTATGATATACTGTTCTTTTTGGTTTGTTTTTATGGGATTTTTTTTTCTTTTCCTGCTTTTCTTCTTTCCATCAAATGAGCCAATAAACATTCAAAATCTAGTCACCTTTCCTGAGTATTCATATGCTAAAAGGCAGCCTTGTATCCCTTCAGCCTTCCTAGTCATTGCATGTTGCATTTCGGAGTCCCTAAATCTCTCTCAGTTTGACCCACCAGCAGCATGAAGCAACACAGCCCACTGGTTAGCTGTGCAAATGGCAAGGCAGCTAGACCTCAATTCAAATCCTAGCTCCACCACCTATGGGCTTTGTGATTCTGAGCAAGTTATAAGCCTCAATTTGTCTGTTTGAAAAATGGGGATAATGATATACCTATTTTGTTTGTGTTGTTATAAGAATTAAATGACCTAAAGCATGTGAAATGCTTAGCACAGTGCCTGGCAAAGCTCATAAACGTTTGCTATTTATCATCATCTTCTGTATCACCTCTTGTCTCTAGAATTCTGTATCTTCCATCTTGCCCAGGGCTCCATCAGCCTTTTCCACAAAGGTCAGATAACAAGTATTTCAGGTCTGGTGGGCTGCATGGTTTCAGTCACAATAGAGACTGAGCAGCCCTAATCTGAAAATGTGAAATGCTCCAAAATCTGAAAGTTTTTCAGCACCAACATGACGGCGTAAGTCAAAATTTCCACAACAGACCTTGTGTTAGATTGCAGTCAAAAAGCAAGTGCACTAAAAGTACCACATAAAAGTACCCTAACGATCAGGGCTACGGTTCAGTAATAGAGTGCCCGCCTGGTTGAGCAGTGCCCCTACCCAACAGGATGCCCTGGTTCGATCCCCATCACCACATAAACAAAGCAAAAAAACTATTAGAACAAACAATGATAAAACAGTGTTTCTATTTTTGAAAACCTTCCAATATGTATAACGTATATATGAAGCATGAATTAATTTCTTGTTTAGACTTTAGACCTAGGTTCTCTTCTTAACATATCTCCTTACTTATAAGCAAATACTTAAAACCTGAAGGAAAAAACCTGAAATTCAAAATACTTCTGGTCTCAAGTACTTTGAAGAAGGGACACTCAGGCTGCGTCTGACTCTGCCATCCCAGAGCCAGAGTGGCTACAGACAGTACGTGAGCGAGTGAATGCCACTATTCTCCTATATCCTTTGATTTATTCACACTAAATTCAAATTTCATATACTTTTTATGTGATACTCAATGCCACTCTTGTTTTGAATTTTCTTTCTACCATTTAAAAATGTAAAAACCCACTCTTATCTTAAAGGCTGTAACAAATGCATGCATGGGCTAGGTTTTATTCAGGGCCATAACTGCCAATCTCTAATGTAGCCAAACCTGCACTTCCTCTTCCTCCCCACCTGCATCTGCTGGTCTCACGCAATGGAGACACACAAAGGTGTCTAACACTGCAGCTCTCATAGCCCAAGCCTCCATTGCGAAGTGGGTCTCACAGGAACTAGAGATAGACTTTCTCTAGTCAAATTTCAAGTTGACATATACAAACATTTATTGACACCTTCCACTGCTACACTTGTACACCTATTTAACACTTTAATGTGCATGCCAACTCTACGAGGTCGGCAATCATCTTACTTCATGTATGGAAAAGAGGGAGGCCAACTGACCTGCCCAAAGTCACACAGTCTCACACATGAGGGAACCAAGCAGTCAGCCCAGGTCTCCAGCCCAGATCCAAGTGCAGCATCCTGGCCACCACCAACAGCTGACATCCACACATCAGCCACCAAGCAAAGTTACATCCCAAGGAGGCAATAGGATCAAACAAGTTTCAGAGCAAAATGCAAGCCAGGAGTAAAGGTTTGAATGATTCACAACCATGTACAGCAGCGGTCGAGCTGCCTCAGAATCACAGCGAACACCTGGTAAAAAACACTTCACTGGAACCCACTCCCAGTGTTCTTGATGCAGGAAGATAAGGCCCAGGAACATGTACTTTAAGACATTCCCAGGTAACCCACAATATGTAGGTTATCCACAGTCTGTACTTTAAAAGCCACTGAAATAAGCCACACTCAAAAAAAAAAGTCCTCATTCTAGAAAAATAACTGTATCTACCCCCCTCTTCCAAAAGACAATTTTTATAAAATGCCTCAGTTATATATTCTCTTAGTGGCTTGCCTGTTCACACTTCTGCTACTCCCTTATAGACAGTTCAGCTACTTATCTTTTCTCCTCCCCACAATCACAAAGTTGGAGAATGTAAAGGTCTTACGTTTTGCTCACATCACTGCAATGTACTAGCTTATGTGACCAGAGTCAAGTTTGTAAAGCACACAAAAAAACGCCTTTTCTCATCTATAAAATATAATCCTAGGGGCTGGGGATTTATCTCAGTGGCAAAACGCCTGACTGGCAAGCGCAAGGTCGTGAGTTCAGTTCCTGGTACCGGAGAAAAACCAAAAAAAAAATAATAATAACAATAATCCTTAGCCCAAATAATCCTCACAAGGGTGCTGAACAACCAGAGATCAGATAACCACATTTATCGCTCACTGGTGCTTCGTTGCAGATGGCTGGCCCAGAAAAAATTCTCACAGCTAGCAGAACCAAAAGCACGGGCGATACACCATGCCGATCTCTTCTCCGTCACTTTCACTACCCCTGCCATCCTCTTTCCTAAGTTGGTATTTCTGGTCCCACGTTTTCACATCACTCTTCAGTTGTATTAAGTTTATAAAGACAGTAAATGTCAACAGGTTCTGAGTGATGGGCTATTCCATGGAAGTTGTAAACTCTACACCAAATTGGGGACACATTATTTTGCCTATTTTTGGTTCCCCATTGGTTCTATTCAAGTGACACTGTCAAATAAATGTGTTATGGAAAGTTGAGGTGTGACTGTCCTTCCAAACCTCTAGGTACTCTAAAGGGATCATCATTTTGGCATCTGATTACCTTGTGTGTTTTATCCTTTGCCTTATTAACCACAAATCCTAATCCAATGACCTAGTAGTTCATCTGTGACGTGGACACAGATCTCTTCTTGAGACATGAGGAATAAGTGAAAGTATATGGAGTGACGTGTTTTATAAAATTGGAATCTAAAACACAGGAGGAAAGAATCCCCCATAGACATGAACTAGAATCACTAATCTCCATTTGAATAGCTTCAAGAACATATCTTTGGGGAATGACCCAATTTTGTTTCACATTCCAAATCTTTAAAATTTTCACCTCACCTTGCCCCAAAAAGGCAGTTCCTAAGAACTCCTTAAGCAGTTCTCATCTGTATTGAAAGAGAGCTGCATGTTTGATGTTTCATCACCCTTTGCCTGTTACCTTGTCTTCTGAACCTGAAAGGTTGATAGCAGCCCAGGGCCAATTGTGCCTGAATATGTGGGATGAAATCATACATAGATAATCATCATTTTTTTAATCATCAGTTATCAACTCCTGATTGAGGAAGCTGTTGAAATGCTTCTTTCAGTAAATGTTATCTTAGAGCTCCTGAGGTGGGAGAGATGGGAGACCTTGGAAAACGGGCTTCTAGGTAGATTTTGCAACCCTGAAGAGAAGGAGCTACTCTGCATTAAATTTATTTTGCCTTGTCTTTCCTTCCGTCTGCTCTGTATTTATCTTTTCTGGCCTGTGGCTATAAGCTTTCTATTATTTTGCTTTTATCTAGTTGGTAGAAGTTTTCTGTGCTAACTTCATTTTGGCTTCTTCTGATGTTTTTGTTTCTGATGATCAGTCATTCTTGGGATCTTAACATAATTTTCATTGAGTCAGTCTTGATGTGCTTTTAAGAAATAGATGGCAGACGTTAAAAGCAGGTGGCTGTTCCAAATCTTATCTGGGTTTATAGTTCATTTAAACTGTGTATTTGAGAATTTAAATTTACCCTAAAGGGGGCCTGGCCTTTGCCCTCTGCTTCTGGGAAGTAATCACTAAACCCTTAGAATATATCACACCTGATAGGAAGGTCTTTGTGTATCTGGGCTTGAGTCATACCAATAACGTGATTTAAGACGGGGTTTTGAGGAAACAGGCACTTCATCTCCTAATGGAGAACAAGACGAGCAGCGGAGTATGCCTACGTGCCACAGACACAATAAAAACACTGCCACAAAGGCACAAACCTCCTGACTGGCGATACTGGGAACGTACTTTCAGACATTCAAATATGCTGAGAAATAATGTGTCCTGACTCCATGCAGCGGGGACAGTGGGAAGCTCTAGAAACTCCTCAGACTTCATGCCATGCATTTTTTCTCTTGGATGATTTTAATCCCTATCCTTTCCCTACAATAAACCATAGCTATCAGTATAACAGCTTTCAATGAGTTAGTAGAGTCCTTTAAGCATTATCAATGAACCTGAAAGTGGTGTTTGGAACCCCCAGAATTTGCAGTTGTCAGAACTGAGGGTGCCCCCTTGTGGGGACTTTTCCCTCTACCAGCCCTAAGATTTGATTTGGGGCAAGAAGAACCTCTAACTGTGTCAATGTCAGTGAATCAGGGTCAAGATTTTTCTGATGTCTTTTGCTGTAGCCAATCTGGAGGAGCAAATACGAGAGTCAAACCAGAGGAAATGAGTTATTGTAGACCCAAGAATGTTTATACCTAAAGCTAACTTTGCAGTAAAGAAGCAGGCAGTAAAGACTGGGGCTAGCTAACACAGAATTAACAGAATGTAAGACCTAACCTAGGCCTTGGCATTTAAATCAAAACACAGGAGAGGATGTATGAAACCACAAAGTCTTCAAGCTATACCTGACTGGAACTTGGTAGTGCACTCACTATCAACTCAGGTTCCTTTTCTCCTCTTGAGTAAAGGACAATGGTGACCTTGCTCTGAACCAACAGGGCCAACACCCACACCTAGGCAATGTGAACAGGAAACAAGCATATGGTATTTAGGCTTTTCCCAGCAGCAAGGACTTAACACCAAGATCACTGCCGTTCTTTTCAGATGGTTATGATCCAAAAATGAGGGTCCACAGAGGTTAGCACACTAGAAGGAAACTATGGTCATGGACCTGGGGTCCAGCTGCCACTTTCAAGTGGCAGAAGTCTGGGGAGCGGTTTAAACTGGGCATCTCCTAGGGTTCCACCTTTCACTCCACCTCAGGGGAAAATTCCATTCACCTAAAATTCACTACGCAGATGGCTCCCAAATCCATACCTTAGACTCCAAATTTCCAAAGGTTCATTACAAACTTTCTCCTAGAATCTTCTCACTTGCCAAGAAAACTCACTATGCCTAAAAATGAACTTCAACATTCCTTTCAACCCCCTTCACAAATTCCCCATCTTGCTGGGGATATAACTCAGTGGCTCAAGCACCTGACTAACAAGCACAAGGTCACGAGTTCAATTCCCAATACAAAAAGAAACAAATTCCCCATCTTCATGAATGTCACTCCTAGAAACCCACGGAAGACACTTACTGGTTAACATGGACTCTTGTCTCTCATTGAGCCCTGTCATTTCATCCAATTCCACCCAAATCGCCCAACTGTACAATCTTGAATTTAGCCCCAGTCAATGGGATTCTACTTGTGTCAGGTTAATTTCCAAACTTCCCAAGGTTAAGGAGCATTTGGGGACATTTAGAAAGACTTGGAAACCATCTTGCCCAAGACCATCATACTTCATATAGGCTTCAAAGCCACTGTGACTCACAGCCAGAAAGGGTAGCAAACCACAAGCCCCTGCTCGCCTCTTCTGCTGCCTTTTGCCCTCACGTTAGCACCTGGAATTACTCTTTCCCCCCTTTTCATTTTCCTCCTTTCTCTCTATTTCTCACCATAATTCGCAGTGGGTTGCTTAGCCCCTGGCACACAGGAGATGTTGAATGGACACATACTCATTTACATTAGTTTCAACTTACCAGAGGAAGATAATGTACTGTAAGACATACATACTGATAGCTAAACTCTCAGTTCTGCATATTTTTTAACAATTTGGTAAAGATTTGATGAACAGGGTTTGACAAAATCTCTTTTCACCGAAGTTACTTGATGGAAATTTGTAAGATACAGAACCATCCTGGGACAAGAGAGTGCTTTCCAGGCGGCCTCAAATCCACCAACAGTTCACAGCGCACAGCGGGAGTAGCATGCGTGGGCTACGTTAGTGCACACTGTAACACTAGAGGGAGCTCCAGGCCCCTCTCCTCCGCCACCTCCATGTACAGCCTGAGAAGGGGCTTGGTTAAGGTCATCCAGCTGGGACATGGGTTTTCTTTTCCTCCCATGATTTCTAGCTTGGGAGCTGCATCATTCTAGTTAGACTCAGAGAAGCTTATTTATGTGAACCCTGAAGTCATTTTGCTTTCTCTCCTCAGCCCCACTCTTCCAGGGAAGAGAGAACTGCAGCAGGTCAGGAATCAGTTGTGGGCTCAGGGGTAAAGGACAAAGAAGCTACTCTGTCAGTTTTTAATGATATAAGCTGCTCAGGACTTCCCTGGGTCTATAAACATAGAAGCCCTCCATAGGCACCAACATTACCAGTCTGACCTTGTCCTGGGGCACCTGCTTCAGGGCCTGGGATAAGAAGAACATCAGTCTCCAGTATGCTGGGCACTACCATCTCCACCTTATACAATTCTGCTTTCCCACAGAAAGCCTCCTTCTGTACCAGAAGGGTCTGCACACCCTGCTTTCTTTCCTCTCTGATTCCAATGAAGCAGTCAATCCTTCAGTTCATTTAGGCCAGCAGCATCAGTATGACCTAAGGATTTGCCAAGAATGCAAACAGTCAGATCCCACCTCAGACCAGCAAGCAGGAATCACAAATTCTAAAACTCTGGGCTGGAGCCCAGTAACCTGCCTTTGCACTCCAGGTGATTCTGACGCAGAGAGAGCATGACATCCATGGCAGGACAGAGTGAAAGGACCCACCTGGCCCTCCACTAATTGCACCCATGGAATCACAAAGTCAGCATTACCTAATCCCAAAATACTTGAGCTTTGGAAAGCTCTCTCTAGAGAGGCCAAAATAACCCCAATCCTAATCTAATAACAGCAGCTAACATCTAACAGTTTATTTCAGACCTAGTGTAAAACACTTCATATCTTCCTTCTCCACAGCAATCCTGGGTGGCAGGTACAATGACCACCCCATTCCATAGATGAGATCTTTGGTGTTGAGAGAAAGTACAATAAACTGTCTGTGGATACACAGCCACTAGGTGGTGGAGGCAGGATGTGAACACAGATCTACCACACTCCAAATTCCCAGGTCTACACCTCAATGGCGTGTCACAGACGCTCAGGTTTCTCATGCTGTGGATCAGGGTGGGCAGGGGGATGTCACACGGGTTTCTTTGGTCTCTCTCAGCTCCTAGGCTGCACTAACTTTACCACTGCTTTCCTGATCCTGCCCCTTCCACTGTCTTCACCCAATAAAGGCCTGAGCCCTGCTGGCTCTGCTCCCTAAGTCATTCCACCTCCCTGCCCACTTAGCTCAAAAGAAAGATGAGCTCAGAGAAGCCAAATATCCAGGGCATCTCACCATGTGCTCCCCAGTCCCAAAGCCACCTGTCCCCTGAATTTAGTCTTCAGAGCACAGGCTGGTATAAAAGCAAAACTCAAAGTGAGGGTCCCTGCTGTGCCTTTATCTTTAAAGCATGTGCCTGCCTGTCAGTTCAGGGCTTGGACACTACTCAGAATAGAAGAAACAAGAAGTCAACTTTCCCAGAGGCCCCTGAGACAATCAGGCGGCAGAAGAATTCAAAACCACCTAAGCAAAAGCAGAACGATCTTTCCATATGGCTTTGCACATCCCCAACCCCATTCCCCAGGCTCAGGGGTAGCGCACCTGGCTTGCTTTCATGTTCTGGGGTTTCCTGAGGGCTCACAGGGCTACTGGTTGGGGCTTCCCTGTAGGAGGATGAGGCCCGGAGAGTCACTGCTCCTTTTCCAGTGCAGATTTTTGTGGGATCCGTATCTGAAAAGAAAATATCCAGAAGAGAAGACTGAATCCAAGACTCTAGAAGGAAGGATTAAAACAACAGTCAGTTAGCAAACTGTTATAGCCAGGAAATGAGATGAACTTGATTACAGCTACTCGAAGTCTTTAAAAGCTCACAGCTGATGGAAATTAATCTGTGGGTGGTGGAGGGGGGCAGGAGAAACCATTTCCAGAGGTTTGCCACACACCGTGAGATTAGGGGACAATGGAGGCAATGGTGAGTTCTGAATAAATGTATGAGTTACCGTTATCAGCTGAAAATGCCTCAAAATGAAAGCAGGCTTATTTCTTTTATTAAATGACATTTAGGTTGATAAGCAGACTTCTGATCAATTAGTAAGTTATGTTTCAAGACGGAGTTTATAAAAGTTCTCTCAAGCTTCCAAAACATCCTTCTTATCAAAGAGAAAATTGGCAACACAGGGAGTTAGAGGGGTGTTCTGAGGAGGATCACTATTTCGTAGTTCTCCAAAGGGAAAAACAGAAAGCAAACCTCCTTGTATCTGCAAGTCAAGAACTCTGAAGTGATGAGACAGAAGGATATGCAGCCTTACATTCCGAAGGGAAAGAAGAAAATTCACAGCAAGGAAGATGACCGAAAAGACTCAGCCCCGACAGCTCTTTTCATGACCTTCCCTACAGCCTTCACAAGGCCTTGACGCTCCTGATAGCTTTATCAGAGGATAATAACAGACCCAGGACATCTCTGAGAGTCCCTGTTGAGGAGAATGTAAAAGTACCGGTGTCCACCTTATCCAAGGGAGACACATTCCAAGACCACACATTACTGATCCTGACACATGCTTTGTTCTTCCCTGAACACACGTGCCTCTGATGAAGTTTAATCTATAACTTAGGTATAGTAAGAGGTTAACAAGTATAATAATAAAATAAAATAACAACATACTATAATAGTTACTTAAAACTTAAGAATTGTTTATTTCTGGAATTTTTCATTTAATATTTTTGGACCATGGCTGACCACGGGTAGCTGAAACTATAGAAAGTGAAACTAGGGCTGGGAATTTAGCTCAGCGGCAAAAGCGCCTGCCTGGCAAGCGCAAGGTTGTGAGTTCGGTTCCCGGTACCGGAGAAAAACCAAAAAAAAAAAA